CAAGTAGACTGCCACAATTTATTAAAGCCCCTAGACAAGTAAGTTCTAGTGTCTTTTAGGTTCAATTGTTTTCTGTGTAGCTGTTCTCAAAGTGCAGTCTACTAGTCTACTGACTAGCATCGTTGACATCATCTAGGTGTTTGTGAGACAGTCTAGGTTTGGCTCCCAGAAACCACATGGCAGCTTGTAACCATCTGAAACTCTAGTTCCAGGGAATCCCATCCCCTTCTTCTGGCCTTTATGGGTACAAGGCATGCACATATATTCATTAAGTACCTATTAACCTGAAAATAATCTTTTTTTTTTAAAAAAGAAACACTGAATAGATTGATCAGGGAGTGTGTGATCACCCATTGATGGGGGGATGTCCTTCTGAATGCTAGGAATATATGTTTCTCTTATTGGTTGGGTAGCCAGGCAGGAAGTATAGGAAGGGCCACCAGACTAGGAGAAGGCTGGGAAGAGGAATGTAGTGAGACCAGGGGAGATGCCACGTAGCCACAGAAGGAATAATGTGCTGGAGTAATTCATAGTTTAATAGAAGCGGGTTAATAATTAAGGGAGAGCTAGCTAATAGAAGCCTGAGTCATTGGCCAAACAGTTTGCAATTAATATAAGCATCTGTGTATTTATTTGGGGCTAAAGGGATGTGGGACTAGGCTAGGACAGAAACTTCCATCATCAACCCATGGTTTATTTATCATAATATTGCCTATAATCTGCTAGGAAGAACAAAAATCATATGTTCAGGAATATGTGATATTCCTAAGTATGCAGACTCAATGAATTTTCCCTAACTTAATTTAGAGCTTAAATTCTTTCCCACATGACTCATAATCCTCTACACTCAGTGGTAATTTCATGTTATACCCCGAGTATCCCTCACTTTGTGAGTTCAAAATTTATAGTGTATCCTCATTAGCATATTTAGTGGTAAACATTGTACTTATGTAAAACAGGTTGTTTTTGTAGTCTAGTCCAGTTGGTATAATTCTATTCTTTTGAAAATAATTTAAAAGAAATTCCCAAGTTAATGTTAATCTTGTTAATTTGTTGAGATTTAGAATTACCATGGAGTCAAATCTTTGGCTTTTCTAGACTCAGTTAACTGTAGTAGGGAAACCATCCTTCCTCACATCCAGCTCAAATAAAAAGGAGAAAGGATGTCTGGCATCTGTCTCTTGTTGCTTCCTGACAATGGAAGCAACAGGAATAGCTGCTTCAAGCTCCTGTTGCTATGATTTACAAGCCATAATAGACTGCACCCTGGAACTGTGAGCAAAATAAACAACCCCCTTTTAAAAGCTGTCTTTGTTAGGGTATTTCTGTCATAACAAGACAACAAATGCAGAAAATTGGGATCAAGAGTGGGGTTGTGGCTGTCATAAACTGAGCAAGTTAAGCCTTTGGAATGAATTTGTGTAAGAGTCTGGAACTTTGGGATAGACAAACTCTTTGATGAGGTGAAAAGAGCTTAACGGGCCATTCTGGTGGGAGTTAAGACCATAAGATGTGGACCGTGGAGGTCTGCCTTCTGAGGCGTCAGAAGAGGACAGAGTCAGAAGAGGACTCTGATGGAAGCAAGGGGAGAAGACATGTTATACTCAGGCAAAGAATCCAGCTGCATTCTGCACATGTCCCCAGGAGGTTAACAAAATGGAATATAAAAACAGTTGATTAGCCAGGTGTAGTGGACTACATCTTAGCACTCTGAAAGCAAAAGCAGGTGTATATCTATAAGTTCAAGGCCAGTATGGCCTACACAGAGAGTTCCAGTCCAGTCAGGGTTGCAGAGTGAGGCCCTGTCTCAAAACAATAACAACTCCAAACCACCAGCACCACCAAAAAAGGAAAGCAAAACAAACAAGCAAACAAAAAGTAATGGCTAATGTGTTTGGTAGAGGGAATTTCAAGGTAGGCTAGCATTCAGCCTGTGGCATGGTTTTTGCTCATCACACTTACCTATGTCTACAGTAAAAAAAAAAAAAAAAAAAAAAAGAAAGAAAGAAAGGAAAAAAAAGAAAAAAAAAGAGCAACAGATGGGCAGAATATATTTTTTAAATGTACAGTTTGTCAACAAAAAAGAGGTTGGGCAAGTTTAAGATGCAGTCAAGGCACACATTAAAAATGAGGCTTAGCTGTTCAAGAGAAATCATCTGCTCTTCACAATAGAAAAATGCCATGAAGGCAAGACTCCACTGATCAAAGGCTCGAGATTCTGATAGAAAGCAAACATTCATTTGAAAGCAGAGAGCCTAAGATGAAAATGCCGCTGGAGGAGTTCCTTGCTCCTGGAAAGCAACTGTCTAAGGGAGCCCCATGGTTAGCAAACACAGGCTGCTCTGGCTGTGGTCCAAGGAGGGCAAGCCTCCATCCTGAGTTAAGAAATGTCATCTATATGGCACTAGCTGGGTAGGCATGTAAGATGCAAGATTGTGGAGATCGTGGAGTCTTACACTAGTTTCAGAGAGCAACTGAGCCTAGGCAGTGTGGCAGGTTTGGAGTCCCTGAGAGGCTGTTGTATGAAAATAAAAGTGAACTTCAAAGTTGCAACAGAGACCCTAGGATGTTGGAGATGCCAGAGATGCATGCACAGAGTGGAGCTGACTCAGGAGAAGAACTGTGAAGGTGGAGAGATGGCTCAGTGATTAACAGCACTTGCTTCTCTTACAGAGGACCTGGGTTCAGTTTCCAGCACCTCTGTGACAGTTCACAACTGTCTGGATCATTTCCAGAGGAGCCAATGTCTTCTGGCCTCTGCAGGCACTACATGCATATATGGTACTCTTGCATATATGCAGGCAAAACATTCACATACAAAATTAAGAAATAAAACTTTCTTTTAAAGAGATTCTTTGTGTTCTGCAGGAAGCAGAGCAGGAGGGGCAGGGCAACCTAGGCCTGTTAGAGCCCAGATGATTTCATCGTGAGCTGTAGATGCCTGACATGGAGTTGGAAAATGTGATGTTTCCTATGCTTGGATTTGGTCTGCTTTGGTCTGAGCTTTCCTTATTTCTCCCTTTTGGAATGAGAATGTTCACTCTGTGTCATCATATGTTGGAACTATGTAATACCCTTTCTGTTTTATAGGGGCTCAGAGTTAAGAGATTACCTTAGTCTCAGAAAAGACACTTTGAATATTATTGGAGCTGTAAGACTTTTGAAGTTGAAGTAAATGCATCTACTTTATGAAATGGCTGTGATCCTATGGAAACATGAAGTGGAATGTAATTATTTTACAGTAAAATAGCTTTGAGTGTCAAATTGACAAGGGGTAGAGTTGTGAAGGTTAATTTTGTGAACTGGATGGAATTTAGAATAACCTTGGAGATTAATCTTTGGACATGTCTGGGAGTGATTTTCTAGATTAACTAAAATGGAAAAATGCATACTCACTTCCCAACCAGATACAAATGAAAAAAGGAGGCCCTGGCATTTATCTTTTTTTGCTTCCTGTCTGCAGATACAATCTGTCTGCCTGCCTTGGGTCCTGCCGCCATAAATCCCCTGCCTTGGGTCCTGCCGCCATAAATCCCCTGCCATGATGGGCTATGAAACTGTGAGCTAAAATGAACCCTTCCTTAAGTTGCTTGTGCAAATGTATTGTCACAGCATAGGACAGGTAACTGATACACCAAATGGGCACATCAAAATACCAGAAACATATATGGTATGCCTTAAATGTGTCTTAGTTAACCATTACCCTGCTAGTCAATATTACTCAGAGTCCCCTCAATTGTTATTCTGGCTTCCAAATCTACCTCCATAATCAAAGTGACTTACCTGTCTTGATTAGACTTCTAACTATTTCTGTGTGGGGTAAAAAAAATATCTACCTTTGGATCACAGCTTCTTAATGTGATAGTTATTTTTTTTAAATAATACGCTTCTTTTCAGTTTTAAAATTCTTTGATTTCAAGTATCATAGCTACATTTTCTCAGGATATATGCTAGAAAATTAGTCTAAGTAAAATGAAATTGAGTTAGTGTCAAAAACCATTCTAAGTAAAATCCTGAAGTTAGCAACACACACACACACACACACACACACACACACACACACACACACACACACACAGAGAGAGCTGTCTGGGCAGCTTTAAGGACTGGTATCTCTTAACATTCCAGGGTTTTGAAGCGATTAAATGCATTGCAAATGGGTTTGTCCTGATGTTTTAACCCCCTCCTTTGTATAAAGACAAACCATTAAGTCGTGAGAAAGAACGAAAGTTTGAGTAAACTTGCCCTCTAATGTCAATAAGGAACCGATCCTCAGAGATGTGGGGGATCCGAGAGCACCACATCAGTGTCAACCTGATCCTGCACATACCAACTGGGGATATCCACATTGGTGGGCATTTTCGTAGTGTCTTTTAGAGACCACCCTTTGTGTGATTTAGACTTCCACCAAGAACAGGATTTCCTCAGACTGTTGTGGGTTGTTTTAATGAGTCTGTGCTTTCAAGTGTTACTACCTACAAGGCCCAAGTCGATGGTCTAAGAGGCCAGGTGAAAGCTATTTGTTTCCTCCGGAATCAAGCTATCTGGTCCAAGAAGGCTTGGGGCGAAACCGCGGAGGCCCCAGGTGGTTAGAAATTGAACAGGAAGGGATTTTAAACTGTTGCAGGGAAAGGTGTCTGCGATGTGACAGGCAGTGGACAAGCCTTTGATGTGCTGCCTGCCTCCCTTGGCCAGTCGGCACTGGATCATCAACATTCTCTGCACTCTGGGGCATTATCCTTACTCCTGGCCAATTCCTTTGGTACCCACCCGGCCCTTCCCCCTCCCGCCTCTCGGATCCCGCGCTTCCATCCCCCTCTTCCTTCCTTTTCTCCACTTCCCCCTTCTCCCCCTGTTTCTCTCTAAGCCCTCCAGCCCAGCCCATTCCGCCTTTCCACTCCCTCTTCCCAGGCGCACCGCCGCGCTCCCGCTGCATACACCTCCAGCTCCCTCCTCCGTGGGCGGTGCCGCGAGCCGGCTGCGCGCAGGCGCGCTGAGCGGCGGACGAAGGGGAGGGGGCGCTGGCAGGCTCCGCGCAGGCGCGCGCCGCTCTGCTGGGCACGGCTTGGCACGGGCGTCTTTCCCTCGCTCTGTCTGAGCGACCGGGCTTCTACAGCTGTAGAGGCGCTCAGCAGCACCATGTTCCTCCACTCAGTCAACCTCTGGAACCTGGCGTTCTATGTCTTCATGGTGCTTCTGGCGACCCTGGGGCTGTGGGATGTCTTCTTCGGCTTCGAGGAGAACAAGTGCAGCATGAGCTACATGTTTGAGTATCCCGAGTACCAGGTACGGCCCTCCCTCACCTGAGCGCTCGCGCCTCGCGGGCTGCTCTCGGGCTCAGCCGTGATCCCGGCTCGGAGCCCTCCGGGCACTGGGAGCCAGTCTCCTGCCTCGGACTGGGTAAGGCGTCCTGTCCTCTCCCCTGGTCCTCCATTCCTGGGCTCCCAGACCCCGGACCCTGACTTCTGACCCTCTGGGCACTCTCTGTCTCATCCTCGAAGAGCCAGCCCCGGTCCCTGTGCCCAAACCCAATCCTCTTCCAACCCTCCTTTGCTTGCAAGGAGACGAATTCTCTTCGCGCCCAGTGATGGACATGCCAGATTTCGCTTTTTTGGAAAGAAACCCAGCGCCTGCAGAGTTGCCAAGGTTGATTTTAAAAGGGGATCTAGGGTTTTACCTCTGGGTGAAGTGAAATGCCGGCCTGATGAATAATTAAACTGAAAACTGTTTAGTTTCCTCCTGTGGAGATTTTTTGCGGATCCACCTGTTCTGTAGGTTCTGAGTCCGTGGGTGTGTGTACCTGTGTTTTCCCATGCCTCTGAACAGCCAGTGACCTGCACAATCTATTAAGACATCTATTATAATCAGTTGCATGCACCATCTATTTCGCGGTATTACTTTGTTTTCTCACTGGGTTTAACACAGTCTGCCTTGCCTCCCCCACCTCCTCCGTTTCAATTTGAATGCTTTCAATTAATTGCTTCATTTGTTCTGCATAGTAAAATATGAAATTTCATTCACGACCAGCTGTAGAAAGAGATGATGACAAATTACACAGCTGTCCGGAGAAATTTCCCTCCGGTGATATTTTTCTTAAGATTTCTAAGTGAATATTAATTTTGGAATATCTGTTATAATAACTCCTATAAGTATAAATAATGGGCTTTGATAATGTGCATTCTTAGTATACTTATAAGATCATAACAGATTTTTCTGTAGGATGAAGAATGAAAATCAGAATTGCGTCTGTGTATAGGTTCTTATAGAGGGGGCCTGTTTGATACTGCTCTTATTTACATTTAGAGGTTGAGGTTTAAATTGCTGAAGATCATCCTCCCATGGATATTTTCTAGTAAGAGAGTTCGTACCATAATTTTGCTTGTGTGGTTTTGAAGGGATGGGAACGTTGGATTTCAGATGCTGTTGGGGATTTTTAACAAGTTAGTGTTAATTCCTAAGCTAATAAACTGATGTGATGTTGGTTTATGTGCATTAGAATTTTAATAGTTAAATATGTGAACTTTAGGTTGTTTTTTTTTTAAATCTGGAAATAGAGTTCATCATAATTTTATTTCATTAACTACCATTTAATAATTTAAAAAACTCTCAATAGGTCACTTTAGTTTTGTACTGTATTAAATGAATGCTTTGGTTAAAATAAAATCACTTTGGAACAATAGTTTCCATTTATATTTAGATTTCCCATAATTATTTAGTCTATTTTAATATTTGCAATAGTAGAAATTGGCTTCCTGCATGTTGGGAACAAAGCATATGGACCTCACAGATGCATCTCCTGCCTCATGAAATTGACTAGAAAGAGAAAATGATTGTCACTAACACAATAGAGCTATTGGGCTTTTTTTTGTTGTTGTTGTTGCATCGTGGGTATTTAGTTACTTTGGTTCTAATTGCCTTTTTGGAGTTTGGCACTTATTAATTTGTGAGTACAGTGATAATGACAGTGGTAGCACTTTTGGCACACATTTTTAGCAGACTTTATTATTAGTCCTTTTACACTGATTGAGTTGTGTTATTTTACAAACAGAATTAAGCCTTCTTTTAGAAATGAGCCCTATTGAATAAATAGATTTTAAAATAATTGAGCTCATTGGGTTGAGAGCCAAATGGTTTTCATATGACTGAAACTGTTCTAAAGATAGTTTATATATTGCCCTTTAAAGTAGCGTTTTCTGTACCTTTCTAATTGTTCGCAGGTTGATATCCAGCAGGTGGCATGTCCTATTCATTTCATCTTTCTTGAGGCCTTTTTCTTTTTTAAAAAATTGCTCATTGTGCCTTCCTTAGCCAGTCAGCAGGAAATGATAACTGGAATTTCTTGTTTCTTTTTCTCTTTTTAAGTGAGAGAGGAATTTGTAACTCTGCAAAAACAAACTTTTGAGTTTGAAATTGTTTATCATCTCTACTCATCTCCTGCCTGTAATTTCCTGGATGCTCTGATTTGGAGTTAACTGATTGTTTCACAGTTAGATCTTAAGTCTACCATGACATTTAAAGCTTTTAGCCTTGTTATGCCAGTAGGGCCAAACTGTTGTCTGGCTACACATAATTTTAGGCAAACTGTAGAATTTGAGAAGAAACACCCAAGTTGTTTTCTCTCTTGTGTTCATTGTGTTCTCTGTCCATGTGTGTGACCTAAAGATTGCTCTCTGAAAGGAAATGGTGGTGTTGATGTTTATATGGTGGTGTTGATGCTTACCTAGATGGTTGTTTATTGAATGACTAGGTATATTCAGCATGAGGAATTAGTGATAAAAGCCCCATGTGCCATTAATGTATATATTTTAACAAGAAGAGAGACAAGACTATGAAAATCAGTTATCGTATAATGTAGCAAGAGACTGTGTACAAGGCTCTTTAGAGAAGAGAGAATATGCATGTTTGTACTGGGTTTTCAAAGGCATTTGAAAAGATGTAGGTTGAAGGGCTGGAGAGATGGATCAGCAGTTAAAGTACTCGCTGCTCTTGCAGAGAGCCTGGATTTAGTTCCCTGCACCTACATGGTAGCTCACAACCATATTTCTCTCCAGTTCTGCATGGCACCATGCAGGCAAAACATAGAAAATACAAACTAAATGAATTGAGGGCAGGGTGTGAACCTGGACGTACGGGTCGTTTAGTTAACATATATAGGCAGTGAGGAGGGCATCAGGACATATTATCTGATCAGCACTTATAATATATTACTATTGATGCAAAAGGGAGAAAACAATCTATAAACATATTTGCCTGTATATATCCAAAATATTTGTTAGCACACATAAATTGATTAACATTGGTTGTTGTCTTGGGTGGAGGAACTGGATAGCCTAAGGGTCATGAGTAAGAGGCATTCTTTTTAGTGCCTGTCTTTTTGAGGTTGAAAAAATGTAAATCTATTAAATACAAATTTTAATGGCATGTGTAAGTTGTAAGAATGAAGTAAATGTTGGAAACAATAAAGCTCTCCTCTGTAAAGTCTTCATTACTTTTGTATCCAGTATGGAAACACATGAGGTATGTGTGGTAGCAGCATGGGCTGGGTTGTAGCAGAGACGTTATGACAAGAGGAAAGGCTTGTCTGGAAGGTTATAGTATGTGTAAGTATTTGTACCCCTGTTTTAACCAAGCAGGAGTCCCTAGAATTACCCTTAGTAGTAGCCTCAGTCAAGGGCTGAGCTTCCAGTAAGAACTTTAAAATGTTTGCATTTATTTTGATTTTTATTTTCCTTTTGGTTAAATTATGAATATCAAACTTTTGTAGTTTTCATTTACAAGTGAAAGATGTACATATATATTATAAAATAAGACCTTTGCTCTCTTAAGTTAGCATTCTTTCTAGTTGAGGGGTTGAAGTACCAGTGGGCTTATAAAGCATATGGTAGAGTTGGTATTTCTGTATTTGGTATATTGGAGAAGATAACTGGAAGTGCTGGTCTGTTAAATAATAAGCACATAGTAGTCCTGTAGATGCTTCTGTGGTGTAGTTGGACCAGATTATAGTAATAGCCTCAAAGGAATATTCTGGAATCTGTGCAAATGAGTAGAATTCTTTTAAATTTTTTTCAGCAGTATTGACATTTACAGTTTTTGAAATTCACATTGTAATTTTTTCATCATATATATATACATATATAGATACATATGTTTAACATTGTTAGATTATTAATGTATTGATACCCATTTAAATCTATGATTCAGTATAATGGTTTGTTTTTAATGACTTCTATTATTAAAAAGACAAAGTACATACCAGGTGTGGTATGTACTCCTGTAATGACCAACAGTTGGGAGACAGTGGTAGGAAGGTGGGGAGTCAATACCAGCTGAGCCTACATAGTGAGAACCTGCCCCAAGAGGATGGTGAGAGCAGAAGAGTTCACACCTGCCTCAGTGTGGTGGGAGGGAAGAGTTCACAATGTGCTACTTCTATGATAGATGCCCACCCTTTGGGGAGGATGTTAAGGCCCAGTATATGTTATATTGAAAATAATTCTGTATACAACTTTAAGATTTGCAAAGTAGCTTAAGGCTTGCTAACAGTCCATGTACCAGGTCCATGATTTGGAACAGATGCTAATTCAATGGAGTGTTTAGTGTAAGAAGAATGTGCATATCTCGATCAAGACTTTGTTGTAATATTCACATTATGTTGTTAAACCACTGAGAGGTCAGCAAGATTCATTGTCAAGCAAATGTCCTAGGGCTGTGGAAATAGCTCTGAGATGTAGGGCTTGCCATGCAATCATAAGGCAGGCCAGAATTCATCTCCAGCACACTGAGCTGTGCATGGTGGTCTGTGTTTATAATCTCAGCACTGGGGAGGCAGAGGTAGGTCAGGCAATCTAGCTGAATCTGTGATCTCCAGGTCCAGGAAGAGATCTTAACTCAAAATTAGCAAACAAATAAGGTGGAGAATAGTTGTGGAAGATAACTAGGTTTGACCTCCAGCTTACACACACACACACACGCACACACACACACACACACACACACACACACACACACACACACACACACACACCAGCTAGAGGACTTAGGGGGCCTGAGTAAAAGGAGATACTTTAGAAAGTAGTTTAAAGTGCCAAAGAGAACTGATCACAGAAAGCTTTATCATCACTTTAAAGTATAATTGATAACTGATTGTAAATTAAATGCATTTCCATTTATGTTTATCTGAAACTTTCTGATGTATACCAGTGACATATAGCTATTGTCAGGCATTATTTTTGACTCACTGGCATCTGTTAGAATTTCAACTTCTATGTGTTTTATGCTTTTATGAAGGTCACACCATTCAAGATCCACATAATTTAAGAATAATCTCCTGTTTGAAAAAGGTTAAGTAGAACTTGTTTTGTGCATTGAGTGCAGTTTATATCATTGGTAATATTTTTATATTGCACTGTTTCAAAGTTCTTTAATTTATGCTTGCATTGAATCTGAGTTGTATAAGTAAGTGATTAAAATGGGCATATTTATTTATTTATTTTCTGTAGAAAATAGAACTCCCAAAGAAACTGACAAAACGCTATCCAGCCTATGAACTATATCTTTATGGAGAAGGGTCGTACGCTGAAGAACACAACATTCTCCCTTTGACAGGAATTCCCGTTCTCTTCCTTCCTGGTAATGCTGGCAGTTACAAGCAAGGTAGGTACTAGAAGGAAAAAGTTAAAGCTGGGAAGTTCAATTCCAGGCTTTGGAGTGCATACTGTGTGAATCAAGTGTGTGTGGGGGTGTAAATAAAAAAGCTTAGCCTGCTAAGTGCTGTGTCAGACCTCCTGGGAGAGCCACATGCATGCCACTTCCTTCAAGAGAAAGCACACATTAGAAACACAAGAAGGAGAAGGAGGGAGGAGGAAGAGGGAGGAGGAAGAAGAAGAGTTGAAGACTGCTTTGCAAAGGATGAGAAGAATCAGATGGCATAGGGTAGGGTGAATAGATCATACAGATACTCAGGAATAGCAGGAGAAAGGTTCCTATTGGAAATGCAGTTACAGAGAATGGAATCGGAAGCACTCACTAGGGAGAAAAGTATCTAACATTATGCTGAATGAAAGGTCAGGTTCTTTCCTTGTGTGGAGACATGTAGCAGTGTGGAGGGTTACAAAACAATGGGGAGAATTGAAGTGATATGTTCAGGTTCCAAATCCAGTGTTGGCTTGGAGAATGTCAGAAGTTTCTGCTATAACAGCCAGATGTCCCAATCTGTAAGTACTTTTGTTTACAAACAAAAATCTGCTTTGGTTCCTATAAACATTCTAGGAATTGTTAAATAAGGAACCCACAATTGTTTCAACATGTTTGGTAATTACTTATGTGGTGTATTTTCATCTACAAAATACTTGTGAAGTACTTATCGTGAGCCAGAGAATATTCTAGGTATTAATAATCTGGAGTAGAACAAGACAGCACAACCCTCATCAAGCACATGTTCTTATTGGGAAGACAGCCATCAGTGGATGTTTCAGTAATATCAAAGACTACAAAAATAAGTATGTAAACCACTTAAGGAGGCAGATGGTAAGTAGTAGGAAAGAGACCTGTTTAGATGACATGACCGGGAATGGACATGGCGAGGAGATGGCATTTGAGGAGAGGTGAACATTATTGTTTGGGGAAGTCCCTACTGCAAGAGTATGTTTGGTGCGATCACTATGACTAGAGAAAAATGAAATGAGAATGGAAAGGTAGCTATGACCTATATAAAAGATCTGAGAGGGATATGAAAAAGGATGCTTTGGTTAGAAATTATATAATCTGATTTTTTTGTTAACTACCATGTCTGAAATGATAGACACATACATTTAGTTATTACAAAGTGAACTTACAGAGAACTAAAAACTGCAGTGAAAAAGTAGAAACTTGCCAACATCTTGAAAACCCTGTGTGTTCCTTCATGACTAAGCCCCCTCCCTACACTTCCACAATTCTAACCTTAAGGTGATAATTTCCCTAAACTTCATTTACAGTCTTAATACCTAAGTGTGGACCCCTAGTATATTCTGTTGATTTGTGGGTGTTTTTAACCTTTATAAAGTATAATCATCCAGTATGTATTCTTTTATGCCTGATTTCTTTTCCATTTTGTTTTGTTTGTAAAAGTCTCCTAAATTACTATGTGAACTGTAAACTGTTTATTTAACATTATATGGTTCATTTGTATACCTGTTATAAAAGATGATTTGTATAAATTTTGTATAAAAGGTAAATTGAATGTTTACCTTTATTGGCAGTTACAAAGTTAGTATCCTTAGAGCACATACATTTCTGTACTTGTAGATGTATTTCAGGAGTATTAATTCCTTCCCCAACACAGGTTGTATATATGCTCTTATCTTTACCTATTATACTGATTTATATTCTTATAATTAGCATGTGATACTTCCCTTTGTATTACTTCTTTGACAACAATGAGGCGGTGGAATTAAAATTTAGAAAATCTAACAAATATAATTTACTTTTTGAAAAGGCTATGGCTCTGCTTTGAGGAAAATATGTGTAGTTGGTTGTTTTAATCTTTTGAGGTCCTGCCAATCCGCTCCCAAATAAACCACGCGGAGGCTTATTCTTTCTTATGAATGCCTGGCCTTAGCTTGGCTTTTTTTCTTGCCAGCTTTTCTTAACTTAAATTATTCTGTTCACCTTTTGCTTTCTCTATTTCTGTGTATCTTTCTTTGCTTCTTTCTCCATGGCTTTCTCCGTGGCTGGGTGGGTGGCCCCTGGAGTCCCCTCTCCTTCTCCTTTTCTTGCTCCTCCCACATTTCTCCTCTTTATTCCCTCTGCCTGCCAGCCCTGCCTATCTTTTCTCCTGCCCTACTATTGGACATTCAACTCTTTATTAGACAAACCAGGTGTTTTAGACAGGCAAAATAACACAGCTTCATAGAGTTAAACAAATGCAACATAAAAGAATGCAACATATCTTTGCACCTTTAAAACAAATGTTCCACATCATAAACGAATGTAAGATCTTAAAATAATGTTCCACAACAAATATGCTATTACAGGGCAAGCGTGAGAACAGAAAAGATGCTGAACATCATTTGTCATCAGAGAAAGGCAAATCAACGTGAGATGCCACTCCCTGCAATGATACTAGGATAACTAATTAAAAAAAAAAAAAAAGACAGATAGTAGCAAGTGTTAACATTGATGTGGAAAAACTGGAATCCTTACTGTCTTAGACACCATGACCATGGCAGCTCTTATAAAGAAAACATTTAACTGGGGTGCTCGCTTCCACTTCCAAAGACAGCATGCAGGGCAGACGTGGTGCTGGAGCTGAGAGTATTTATTGCTGCATCTTGCAGGCAATAGGAAGTCGACTGACTGTCATACTGAGTAAAGCTTGAGAAAAAGACCTTAAAGGCCACCCCCACAGTGACACATGACCCCACTTCCTTCAACAAGGCCACATCTCTCTTTGGGGGGCCATTTTCTTTCAAACTACAATACTTACATCCTGCTGATGGGGATGTAGGGAGATGCTACAATATGGATGGATCTTAAAAACATCCTAAGGGTGAAAGAGGCATTCACACAAAATCACACCTTGGGATGATATCGTGTATATGAAGTAAATGTTCAGAATAGGCAAATTCATGGAAACAGAAAAGAAGCCAGTGCTAGTCAGGCAGTGGTGGCGCACACCTTTAATCACAGCACTCAGGAGGCAGAGGCAGCAGATCTCTTGAGTTTGAGGCTGGTCAGGTTTACAAAGCTACACAGAAACCCTGTCTCAAAAAAAAAAAAAAAAAGAAAGAAAGAAAAGAAAAGTGCTCTTTTAGGGAGTAGGAAGACTACTCATAGACAGAGGATTCTGTTTTGTTGTTGTTGTTTTTTTTTTTTGTTGTTGTTGTTTTTTTCTTTGCCCAAAATATGTCACATAATGTAATCACTTGATAATAAAATATTAAAGGATTTATAAAATAGGCAATAAGTCAAAAGGAGTGCAAGGAGACAGATAAGATAAGAAGCAGGGGCGGTCAAGAAAGAAATATTGCTTAGATCAGGAAGATAGGAATGGGATGCTGACAGATACCTAGGCGTGTGTTTGGGAGATAGAATGAACTGATGGAATAGATACCCTGTATAAGAGGAAGAAAAAGCAAGCAGGGTGTTGAACACATACTTCTTATAGGAAACTTCTTACTTACAGTCCTCAGTAAAAGCAACAGAATTTCTACTGCTCACTCCTTCCTCTGCTGGCTGCTAATGTTCCCAGAGAGAGGAACACAAGTAAAGACTGAATGATCGGTTCATTTTGTTTGTTTATTTACCTTAAAATATGCCTAGGAAAAACAAGGCGTATAGCTGCTGGCTTAGTTTGTTCTTTTAATTGGTGTGTGTGTGTGTGTGTGTGTGTGTGTGTGAGAGAGAGAGAGACAGACAGACAGACAGACAGACAGATTAGGTATGGTGCATATGGACATGAGTAGGTAGTCACCATTGGGTGTGCTCTATTTAGCTCTCCACTTTTGCTTTATTTTCCTTTTATTCATTTCTGTGTTTATTATTATTATTAAAAAAAGAAACAAAAACAAAGAAACAGGATCTCACTGAACCTATAGCTCCCAGATTTACCTGGACATCCTGCAAGCAAGCCTCAAGGGTCCTTTTGCCTCTGCTTCCCCAGTGCTGGGAGTGTGTGTGTGGCTCTATGTGACTGGCTTTTACATGGATACTGGGATCTGAGGTCAGAGTCTTCACATGTGAAATGCAAACCCTTCACCAACCGAGCTCCTAAATTGATACTGTTAATGTGCATCACAAATGATAAGATTATTTATTTAAAAAAAACCTCTAAACTTCCCAGGGGTCATGGTGCATGCCTTTAATCCCAGCACTCAGGAGGCAGACAGGTGGATCTCTTGAGTTTGAGGCCAGCTTGGTCTACAGAGCAAGTTTCAACACAGCCAGGGCTAAACAGAAATACCCCGTGTCAGAAAAGCAAAACAAAAGGTAAAACCCTTCGAAACAAAGTTGGATGGATTCTGGAATGCTTTGTACAATGAGCTCTTCTGTCTTCACTCTGCAGTCCGCTCTATTGGCTCCATTGCACTTAGGAAAGCAGAAGACATTGACTTCAAGTACCACTTTGACTTCTTCAGTGTGAACTTCAATGAGGAGCTGGTGGCATTGTACGGTGGGAGTCTCCAGAAGCAGACCAAGTTTGTGCACGAATGCATTAAAGCGATCCTCAAACTCTACAAGGTAGGAGATAAATATGCAAATCAGTGGTGTAACCTATATCAACAGTATCACATTTGGTATGTTTCAAATAATATGTTTGGTTATATTGAAGTTGAAACAAAAATGCAAAACTGGCAGTACTTTTTTTTAAAAAAAAAACATGTGGGATCCTCAAGTCAATGGTAGTTTAAAGATCTAAGTTGAATTTGCAATTTCTTAGTTCATTGAGAGATCCTGTCTCAAAAGGTAAGGTGGAGGGCCAGTGAGACAACTCAGAGGGTAAAGGCACCTGCTGCCCTGTGTGATGACCTCCATTCAGTTCCTGGAGCCCACATGTTTGAAGGAGAGAAACTGCCCCTCTCCCCAAGTTGTCCCCTGACATTCACGTGTGCACATATGCCAGACAATGAATCAAAAAACAGAATGACTAAATAACTATGTTTTCAATAAATTTTAGGGAAAGGCATTTCATCAGGACTAAAGGTATACATTTTAAAGAATTTTGAGTTTCATCCTCAGCTCTGTCCTTAAAGACATTTTATAATGATAAAAGGGTCAGTTCTCAAGAAAACAATGCAATCGTTTGTATGCATCTAATGCTTCCAAATTCACAAAGGAAAGAAATTAGCATTATTAGCAGTTAGCCTAGTGATTCCTCTACTGTTCTCCCAATTATTGATAAAGAAGTGGCTAAAACTATGGATTTGAACACTATTCACCATCTTTGCTACATAATGTTATTAGTAATAACAGAATACTATACTCAACAACTGTAGAAACATACTCTCTCAGTGCACAGTTACCATTTACTAAGTTCTGTGCCACAGTATATGCTGGGTCACAGGTGTTAACAATCTTCAAATGCTATACTTATGCAGTATATTTTCTGAAAATAGAAAAGTTAAATTAAGGATCAAAAAAACAACTCCCAGGAGGAAAAAGACTCAGTTTTCAGTTCAGCATAGCTCTGACCACAAAACTAGATAGGATTTAAAAAAAAAAAAAAAAAAAAGAAAGAATGAATAAGAGATACATAATTTTATTTTAGAGAACACAACAGTCATTGAAAAGAAACCAGAGATATTCCTCATTATCATAAGTACATAATTTTCAACTAAAAACCAAACTACCAAATTCAGCAGTATATAAAAAATGTAATACATCATGACCAAATATAATTTATTACAAGAATTACTAAATGGTTTAATACCTAAATATGAGTCAGTATAATTCATCATAGGATCATCTTTGCAGCTATATCAAGCCATTTGACCACATTAGCACCTGTCTATGGCATAATGTATAGAAAAAGGAACATGAACTCAGTGTAGGAAGAGTAGAAATTAACTTTTGTTTTGTTTTGTTTTTGAGACAGGGTTTTGTTGTGTAACAGTCCTGACTGTCCTGTAGACCAGGCTGACCTCAAATTCATTGAAAACCTCTGCCTCCCAAGTGCTTGGATTAAAAGATTATGTCACCAGTGCCTGACTAGAAATTAACTTTCTTATCCTGAGGAATCATGAGTGTTATGAGATTGAAAATGATCCTCTTTAGGTATAGGTAATAACTGATAAGATTATTCATCAGATAAAATAAATAAATGTCAACCACAGTAAACAAACTTTAATGTTACAGGGTAGTTTATTGGATTTTCTAATTTTGTTTTGGATTTTTCTAATGAACACATTAAAAACTTATAATATAACTAATCAATATTTTTAAGAATAAATACCAACACAATTTCTATTATAAGCAAGTACAGTAAGAGTGGAAGGACAGTTGAATTTCATTGAATGGATAAGATACAGGAATGGAAAGAACATTCTGGGTAGAGAAAGCGTCATCATCTCAAGAGTCTAATGCAGCAATGTAGAAAAGCACAAAGCAGCGGGGCTGGGTTGGATAGATTGTAAAGATATGTAGACAATTTTAATGTTTTACCCCCTTATGGAAAACCATTAGAGAAGTGACACATTCTTATTTAAATTTTAATAGCATCACTTTGGTTATTTTAGAGGATCAACCTGAGGGGCATAAGGGTGGAGACAGGGAGACCAGGTAGAAGCCTATTGCAGTCTCAGACAAGAGCCAATAATGCTTTAAATTAAGTTGGTAGCAGCTGAAGTGCTGAGGACTGGACAGATTGGTACTGCTCTCAGAGGCAGAGACAGCGGGCTTTGCTGGCAGATTGCAGGTTGAAGTTCTGTATGAAGGAAAAAGAGTTAAGAATGACTCCAAATTCTTTGGATAGCTGAAGGGATTGAATTGCCTTTGACAGGACTAGGAAGAAAAGGCTTGGGGGTGATAAAGTCTAGGAATGCAGGCCTTCCATGTTAGCCCTGTTTTGCACAGTAACTGAAGGAATGGTCCTTGTGAACGGTCAGTGTTGTGGGAGAGAAGTCTAAAGTTTAGTAGGAAGACTAAGGAGAGCAGCCAACACAAACTTTTTGTTTGTTTTTGACATGGTCTCACTATGTAGTTCTGGTTGGCCTAGAACTCACTAAGTAGAGCCTCAAACTCACGGAGATCCACCTGCTTCTGCCTCCCCAGTGCTTGGATTAAAGGTTTGCACCATGACACCTGATAAACAAAGACTATTATTGCTTTTTAAAATTAATTGTCTTTGTGTATATGGATATTTTGCCCACTTGTATGCCTATGCACCGTGTACATGCCTGTGCCAGAAGAGGGCATTGGATCCCTGGGATTAGGGTTACAGACTGTTATCCACATTGACCATGCAGGTGGTGGCATGGTCCTCTGGAAGAGTCAGTGAGATTAACTTCTGAGACATCTCTCCAGCCCCAACAAAGATTATTTTTAAGGCAATACTTACTTAAAGAATTATATAACCTATGAAAAAATGCTATTTTATTTTTTAAATTCAAATGTATGGTAGCAATACCATTGATAGTATATTGCTTCAACAGCTGTAACTGTCTTGTCTTTTAAAACTCTTTTTGGTGTCAAATATTCTGACTTCTTATATATTATAAAACAATGTTGTATTCTATATTAAATATACTTACACCTCAGATTGTATACAACCTAACAAATGAATACCAACATGACTCACTTAAACCAAGAATTCCAATTTTAGTTCAGAAAACCATAACCAAAAATACAACTGGTAAAAATAACATAACATAGAGGAAGATTGGTATATCATTTATAACTGTGTGAAAATAGATTTTTCTCTCTCCTATAGTTTATCTTTGCATTGTTCATATGCAAACAGAAGTACTAACTATTTTTCTTATAATACTAAGAATTCTGTCCTGATTTTTTTTTTTCTTTTTTTCTTAAATAGGGTCAAGAATTTGCTCCCACAAGTGTGGCAATAATTGGTCATTCTATGGGTGGCCTCGTTGCCAGAGCACTGCTTACACTGAAAAATTTTAAACAAGATCTGATAAATCTTCTTGTTACACAAGCCACTCCTCATGTGGCCCCTGTAATGCCGTTAGATCGTTTTATTACGGGTGAGTAGTAGTACACTCAAACTGGCCTCCTCCTGTTGGGGTGAAGATGCTGTCTCTGTAGCTATTTCTGTTAGCGTTTTTATCTGTGTGTGCGGCAGTCCAGCTGCAAATCAGCACTTCCATCCTCACTGTCACCAATCTCTTCAGTCTAGACTTCTCGCTGGGAAAGCCATTGGCTTTCTTCTTCCAGTCACTTGACCTGTGTTTGATGATCCCGATGTTCTAGCAATCCAACGTTAAGAGTTACTGATTTGAAACTTGCCATATCAGAATCTTAAAGTAATAAGACTAAGAAATTTTATAATTAAAATTGTTTAAATCTGTGGTGCTCCTTCTTGTAATGTTGGATGGGTATATATTTCGGAAAAGAATCAAGAACTGAAAATTACGTTTGTTACCACCTTTTCTGTTGCCTTTTGCACAGTACATGTTAAGTTAAAATGATTACAGGTACACTTAAAAATAATCTTTCAAGATTAAACCTCTTCTTTTATTCTTTTTGTTGTTTGTTTTGTTTTATTTTCTGAGACAAAGTGTAACAACTCCTGCTTGGAACTGGCCTCGAACTCACAGAGATCCTCCTGCCTCTGCCTCCCAAGTGCTGGGGTTAAAGGTGTGTGTGCCAACACCACTTGGCTATTCTTTTGTTTTTAATTAATTCATTTTTTATTTAGTTCTTTGAGAGTTTCATACAACATGTTTTGATCATATTCACCCTTCTCCAACTCATCTGAGTATTTCCCCACTTCATAACTCCCTAACATTTTGTCAAGCTTAATTTCTGAATCCTTCAAAACCAATTTGTGCTGCCCAGATATTCTTAGATGTGTGGTCTTGCACTGGAGAGTGATCAGTTTATCAGAATTTGCACTTTTAGAGAAAACCTTTTCTTCTCCCAGCAGCTAGTCATGGCTAGTAGCTCCATGGCTTGGAGTGGGACTGTGTGCCCAACTCCTCTCTCCTTTCTGGGATCCCCTCCTCTCTCCTTACTGGGATCTCCCCCTCTCCTTTCTGGGATCCCCTCCTCTGTCCTTGCTGGGATCCCCTCCTCTGTCCTTGCTGGGATCCCCTCCTCTGTCTTTTCTGGGATCCCCTCCTCTGTCCTTGCTGGGATCCCCTCCTCTCTCCTTGCTGGGATCCCCTCCTCTCTCCTTACTGGGATCCCCTCCTCTGTCCTTGCTGGGATCCCCTCCTCTCTCCTTACTGGGATCCTCTCCTCTGTCCTTGCTGGGGTCCTCTCCTCTCTCCTTACTGGGATCCTCTCCTCTGTCCTTTCTGGGATCCCCTCCTCTCTCCTTGCTGGGATCCCCTCCTCTCTCCTTGCTGGGATCCCCTCCTCTCTCCTTGCTGGGAGCCCCTCCTCTGTCCTTGCTGGGATCCCCTCCTCTCTCCTTACTGGGATCCTCTCCTCTGTCCTTGCTGGGGTCCTCTCCTCTCTCCTTACTGGGATCCTCTCCTCTGTCCTTTCTGGGATCCCCTCCTCTCTCCTTGCTGGGATCCCCTCTTCTCTCCTTACTGGGATCTCCCCCTCTCCTTTCTGGGATCCCCTCCTCTGTCCTTGCTGGGATCCCCTCCTCTGTCCTTGCTGGGATCCCCTCCTCTGTCTTTTCTGGGATCCCCTCCTCTGTCCTTGCTGGGATCCCCTCCTCTCTCCTTGCTGGGATCCCCTCCTCTCTCCTTACTGGGATCCCCTCCTCTGTCCTTGCTGGGATCCCCTCCTCTCTCCTTACTGGGATCCTCTCCTCTGTCCTTGCTGGGGTCCTCTCCTCTCTCCTTACTGGGATCCTCTCCTCTGTCCTTTCTGGGATCCCCTCCTCTCTCCTTGCTGGGATCCCCTCCTCTCTCCTTGCTGGGATCCCCTCCTCTGTCCTTGCTGGGAGCCCCTCCTCTGTCCTTGCTGGGATCCCCTCCTCTCTCCTTACTGGGATCCTCTCCTCTGTCCTTGCTGGGGTCCTCTCCTCTCTCCCTTACTGGGATCCTCTCCTCTGTCCTTTCTGGGATCCCCTCCTCTCTCCTTGCTGGGATCCCCTCCTCTCTCCTTGCTGGGATCCCCTCCTCTCTCCTTGCTGGGAGCCCCTCCTCTCTCCTTGCTGGGATCCCTTCCTCTCTCCTTACTGGGATCCCCTCTTCTATCCTTTCTGGGATCCCCTCCTCTGTCCTTGCTGGGATCCCCTCCTCTGTTCTTGCTGGGATCCCCTCCTCTCTCCTTGCTGGGATCCCCCCTCTCTCCTTGCTGGGATCCCCTCCTCTCTCCTTGCTGGGATCCCCCCTCTCTCCTTGCTGGGATCCCCTCCTCTCTCCTTGCTGGGATCCCCTCCTCTGTCCTTGCTGGGATCCCCTCCTCTCTCCTTGCTGGGATCCTCTGTCCTTGCTGGGATCCCCTCCTCTGTCCTTGTTGGGATCCCCTCCTCTCTCCTTGCTGGGATCCCCTCCTCTCTCCTTTCTGGGATCCCCTCCTCTGTCCTTGCTTGGGATACCCCCTCTCTCCTTTCTAGGATCCTCTCCAGCTTGGGCATGCGTTGATTTTTTAACCTGCTGTTGAAATCCTCTGCTAGTTGATAAGTGTAGCTGCCCCACCGTGTCCAGAAGCTAAGGTTTCCTTGTGGTTATCCTCTGTCTCTGGCTATTATGCTCACTCCTCCTGCCCCCCCCCCCCCGCAGTGATCCCTGAGCCTTGGGAAGCAGGCTGCAGTATGTATCTTCCCCTTAATGCTGGACATTCTGTAGTCAGTTATTCTCTTTGCCTCGGCTGGTTATGGATCACTGGGTTAATCAGCATCTACTGCAAATTGAAGCGTCTCAGGATGAGGGATGAGAGGCACATGGATCTTTGGGTATAACAATAAGTCCCAGGAGTCAGTTTAATACTATGTCCATTTAGCAGCATAATAGTAGTCTCTCTCTTAGGGACTATGACCTATCTAGCTATAAGTTTCTAGTTAATAATGGTGTAAGTAAGGTATGGGTTTCCTTTTGTGGAGAAGGACTTAAATTTGATCAGAAAGTTATTGGATACTCCCATGATGTCCCTGCTACTATTATACCAGTGGGCATGTCTTTCAGGCCAGTCATTATTATAGCTTCCAGGATTCATAGCTGTGTATGGTTGATAATGACTTTTCTCTTCAGGTAGTCTGTGTAGCATCTTTTAGCACTATTAGAGATAACCAGTAGGGACAAAGCTTCCAGGTCAATATCAACCTGAGATTTCCTTCAGAGGTATAATCCTAAAATTAATATGGCTCTGTCATGATAGATTGTAGGAACTTATGTAGGTGTCCAAAGCAGGGTTGCTAAGCCTTCAAAAACTGGGACACATCTGTGACAGGGAGGTGTGTATTTCTTTTTGAATACTACTTTATTGAGGGTAATTCATATACAAAATGCACATATTTAATGTATGCAATATGATGGGATTGAACAGGGCATATATCATTACTTTAGCACCGTGGATGTCTATAACTCCTTTGCAAAGTCTGGGATTCTGTGGAGGAATCTAAGGGTTTCTTTGTTATGGTGGAGCACCATTCTTGTTAGGTACAGAGAACTGTTTGCATGTGGTACAATTTGGCCTTTTTCTTTACTGACACCTCTAGAAACTCTCAATATTTGTACTCTGATTTACTGCAAATGTAGATTTTTGTACTCTGACTTATATGCAAATCTGATTATTTTTCTCAAAATAAGGAAATGTGAATAAAGCTGTCTATAGACCAAAAGCTCAAGCAAAAATTCAGGTAAATATTAGTATTATAAGAATGGATGCACAAATTGGCTTATTTATCAGTGTTTCTTTTTTATTTTCTTCCAGAGTTTTATATGACTGTGAACAACTATTGGATTTTAAATGCTCGGCATATAAATTTGACTACACTTTCTGTAGCTGGAGGATTCCGGGATTACCAAGTCCGTTCAGGACTGACTTTTCTACCAAAATTAAGCCATCACACCAGTGCCTTATCTGTTGTGGTAATTATTTTAAAGATTCTATATAGTGATAGAGTAGACACAATGGAACATCAAAAAGGAAACAGTGTATACCTGCTTGTAAATGAGTGCTGAGTTGGTGGAGCATGCCTGTGTGTGTGCGTGCATGTGTGTGCCTGTGTGTGCACATGCCTGTGTGTGTGTGTGTGTGTATGTGTGTGTGTCTGTGTGTGCACTGCCTGTGTGTGTGTGTATGTGTGTGTCTGTGTGTGCACTGCCTGTGTGTGTGCATGCATGCATGTGCCTGTGTGTGCACATGCCTGTGTGTGTGCACATGAGAATATGGGAATGTGGTTTTAGAAAATCTGAATGAAGATGAATGTGTTGAGAAACAGAAGTATGGATGCTTATACCAGAGAAAGTAAAAAAGGATGTTAGAAACCTTGAAAATTAGTGAAAATGATAGTCTCCAAAATAAAAACCTATCCATTAATTAGAGGTATAAGAAAGTGTGGGCTAAACACAAGGGGATCTAGTTACATCTGAGTGTGAGTATATATAATACTAATAAAATGTCAGACCATCCCATTTACAAATTGGTAAATAAGATCATGCTCTTTGATAGTTGAAGTACAAATAAAACCCTGATTAACTCGATGATTGCTAATTAGCCTTCCCTACCAGAACATTGAGTATTAGTCTTTAATTAGCATACACAGCCTTTGTAGAGTGAACTCAGGTTTCCTTTAGAACTTCTTGTTTATTTAACTGTGATGTCAGCTGTTAAGACTTTACTTCAAAGGCGCACACAGTCTTTGTAGAGTGTGGTCCACCTGTCTCCGGTGCTTTGGTGAGATAGTGGTAGAACGTCACTGTTTCTGAGTTGTTCTTTGGTGTAACTTACTGTTGCCTTACTATTCATCCATTACTTAGTTGCTTACTGAATCCTTACCTTATCCAGAGGAGAAATTATTATGCAAGACTATGATTAACTTTTTCTTCTAACTGGAAAAATTAGGATACAACCAGAATGTCATATAATAATTCTCTCAGCATCATTATTAGTGGTGTGAATCTTGTTTTTGGTGTTGAGTATTTTAGACAGATTTTTGCTGGAAATCCTCAGAATACCTGGTTTGTTACTCTTCAGTAAACACAAATGATGAAGTCTGTTATGAGTAGTTTTCCTGCCTGCCTGGTCCCAGAACCACGCCAGCTCCAAATAACACACAGAGACGCTGTATTAGCTGTAAAGCAGTTAGCCTGTTATTAGTATTTCTTATTGGCTAGCTGTGTCTTAAATATTAACCCATTTCTATTAATCTAAGTATTTCCACGTGGTTTTATTTTATCAGAGAGAGGGCCTGGACCTCTGTTCTCGCTAGTCTCTCCATGTTGACTCCTCCCTACTCCTTCTGGAATCTTCCATGTTTCCTAGTCCCTCCTATCTTACTTTACTATTGGCCAACAGTGCTTTATTCATTAACCAATAAGAGAAACATATTTACAGAATGACATCTCCCATCAGAAGTCTTATGAAATCAGCCATAACCTACTTGCCATCCTCGACCTGCAGCATGCTGATGTTTGTCTTTTAAACAACAAGCCATTTGATCTTACATGCATCCTCTATCTCATGAATGTGTTTCCTTGTCTGCTCTAACCCGTTTGACAATGTGTTGCTGTCACTATTTCTGTATCTCTGATGCAAAGATTTTAATAACAGAATTTTTACACTGTTGTCTATTTGTATAACTTGACTTTTGTTTTTTAACTCTCAAATAGTCTATAACTTTTCACATGTTTATATGTATGCTATTAAAGTCAATTAAGAAGTAACTTTTTCATTGTTTATCACAGGAGTTACATTTATATTCCTTGGGGGCTAGAAAAATGATGACATAAATATATAATTGTATTTGTAGAATAGGTGAAATTGCTATAATATATTCCCTTATAGGTAATAGTGTCATAAATACAAATGAACATATCCTATGAAGGTCAATGGGTGGCTTCTGATTTAGAGAGCAAGATCACTTCAGTCATCACGAGTTCAACTGATGAGAAAGCGAATTAGGCATGGGGAAGGACTGAAAAGGCGCCCACTGCCTTTGCTCACACATTGTTAGAGGAAGTACTGTTAACTTCCTAAAGCAAGAGAGCCGAAGGATTTAGCTGTGCTATTTGTCGTAGAGAAGAATGGATGCATTTAGTGTACAATTGATGGTTCCATGAGCAACCAGCCTTATAAAATGTACTCGTTTTTATTAAATTTGTTATCAGTTTCATAAATGACTAATGTACCTGTTACTCCCCTACCCTCTTATCGCCCTGCCATCCCTGCCAACCTTCTTCCTCCCTGCAGATCTCTACCCCATGTTCATATCTGTCTCTTTGGTTTTGTGACCCACTGAGTTTAACAAGGGCTGTCTGTGTGAACATGAGTTTGGATCTATCCATTGGAGCCTACTGGTTTTACTGTAGGAACACAACTGAATTCCTTGTCCACAATCTGCCAGTAGTCAGTGATTGCAGTAGGGGTGGGACCTCATGAGCTTCTCCTTCTCCCGTAGCTGACTATTGACAAGGCTAGTCTTGAACAGGCCCAGTGTCAGTAACCACAGCTAATGTGAGTTCATGCTTGCAGTGGCTGTGTCCTGCCTAGAAGTTGGCTTTTCACAGCTCTTCTCCAGGTAGTGGGGTTCCTATGTTCTTTCTGCCCTTCTTCTGTGGTGTTCTAATGAGCCTTACAAGGAGGGAGTAGGTGGTTTTGTGTTGCCTTTGTCAACTCAAAGAAAATAAAGCACTTTTATTTTCTTGATAATGGTAAATGTTACCTATTAGTAGTAGTTGAGCTATTATTCTGCTCAGTGGCTAATAAAATCTTAGAACCATAGAGAACTCTGGTTGTCAGACTTTTAGTAATTCATCGGCAATAGTTCCTAAATATATAAAGTGCCTATAAACTTATCAATAAAAAAGGTGGGGAGGAATAAGGGTTATAGAGCATGAAAGTGATCACTATATATTATGTGAATGTGTGGAAATGTCATAATCATACTCTTTTGTACAGTTAATACATGCTAATAAATATTTCTCAGGTACATTCCTGCTTAAAAGATCATATCTTAGAACTCACCAAGCAGTAGTTTAGTCAAAACTAAAATCCTGAAATGTCTATTGGAACTTTTACATTTATGTAAAAGTAAAAAGTCTTTAGGTAAGAAAGATCCCTTATTTAATAAGATTTTTATAGGATACCTTATAAAAGGAATGTTAAGCTCAACTTTTTAATTATGGTTTTAAGATGTTAAATGTTAAAACCTCAGTGTATGCTCTTTGGATATGTTAATTTGGGATCACCTTTTATAAAAATGAATATTTTAACTAAAGAATTATACAATATAATGAAATTAACAAGTGTTTCTAAATACTAGTTTATAAGAAATCTGACAAATAGTAAATGTATTTGAGTTCAGTTCTTTTTCTTTTCCTTCTAGAGTTCAGCAGTACCTAAGACCTGGGTTTCAACAGACCACCTTTCCATTGTGTGGTAAGTTATAACCTCTGTTGGAGATTTCTCATTAATGCAGTAATCAATTTTCTAGCTTTCATAGAATGTGACACAGAATTAAGTCCAAGAGTGAAAGATTAATAGGGGCTTAGAGCTCAACACTTGACTCTTGCTTGTTTGATCATGGTTTTCTTGGCAATCTGTAACATCATCTTCTGAAGCACAAGTTAGGTCACTCTGAATGATGCCAAAATCAAGTACTAAATTTTAGGGTTTGCCATCACTGGGCAGAGTTAGATGTGCCCCTAAGAGGGCTTTCCAAGCTCCGAGCCAATCACTGCACTCAGATATGGTTAATGCAGTTATGGCTGCTGCCCGGCATCAATGGAAACCAACTAGAAGTTAGATCTGTACCTAATATAAGTAGAAACACAAGAGATTACATATGGACCGAGAAGAGCAAAGATTCCAGTGTCTAGCTCTTTGTGCTCTCTTTCAGTTTCTCTTTTGTCCTCTCTCTGTCTGTACAAGCCATGATGTCTTCAGGATCCACACAGTGTAGGCATGTAGGGTGGCACAGACAGTATGTGTGCATGCAGCTAGAAGTCACATGGCAACAGAAGGGCCGTTCTGCCGTCAGATATCCAGAAATATGTCATTTGCTATGCTGTTACAGGTTCCAGCCTTGATATATACACTTAATAAGAATGATTTGTTGAATACATTATTTGTGCATAACATTAAAGGAATGTAATATACTCCATTATAACTAATAGAATTGTGCATATTGGAATCAAAATTGGTGGTTGGTGGCTTCTGGGAGAGGGAGAGTCACTTTTCTTTGGGGGTATGGTGACTGGTAGAGTCCCCATCCCCTAATGGATTATTCCACACTCATGCATGTGTGGGTGGGACTAATTGGATTTAGTGAGGTAAAAAAAAAATGAATTAAATTTAAGAGATGAACATGAAATTGGAATGGAGATATGATGTGGGAGTTGTGGGGATAATTGGGGAGGAAGCAAGGGGTCAAGGTATAAAATTTTTAAAAAATACAATATAATTTCTAACGTTTTACAATTTTGTTATGTTGCTATATTAGTAACAATTTCAAGTTGAAAAAATAAAGTGTTTTTCAGAAAATTGTATCTGTAACATTCCCTTTATTTTTTAGGTGTAAACAATTGCAGTTGACTACAATCCGAGCATTCTTTGATCTTATTGATGCTGATACCAAACAAGTATGCATTTCTAAAAGCTTATTCTAGCAAAGTGAAAGTTTTTCTTAGTGCTAACAGGTTTAATTCATTTTAACATGGATATTAACAGAAACCTGTGCTTTGTATCAAGTTGAATTAGTTCTGAAATAGAAATACCTTTTTTTTCCTTCTGATGTAATACATAGACCTTTAACTCAGGAAGCAGAGGAAATAAAGCAAAGGTGGTCTCTAACACTTCCTTCAGGTCTTTCTCTGCACAGGCCAGAAATTTGAGACCTCTCTCCAGCGCTTAGTTTTAATTTAAGAGAATTATTTACAACTTAATAATTAATAGTTTTTCTTAGTAACATATAACAATGTCATAATCTGTCTTATTAGGTACTCTTGAGCTGTGTTTTAAAGTTATCTTTAGCATATTGATAAGATCAAGATGTATGCCATCCTCTAGTAACTCACACTAGAGAGTCAACTGTGTACTTACTCCCTCAGGTTGAGCCGTATCTGTAATGAGATCTGAGTTCAACCATGCTTTCCAAGTTATTCAGCTAGCAGAACACAGGAGTCATCCACCACACCCTGTACAGAACATGGTATCGCTCTTTCGTCGATTTCTTAACGACTGCTAGATGAATTGTGCTAGTTCATTTCAGCATGGTTAAGAGCCTTGTGTTCCTCAGCTTCAGTTTCTTCTGTGAGTTGGGAACAAACTGGTGTGACTCATCTTCAACTGCCTTTCCCCGGTCATCCTGCAGTGTTTTTCTGTTCCATGGGAATGGCTTTGAGAGCTGTGACTCTGCCTTCTTCTTCCTCCTGGAGAAAACATTAGTTTTTGAGGCATTCTTTTTCATTATGACAGAGCATTATGGCCCCAAATTTTTAATAGCTTTGTGACTTTAGATAAATGTCTATTTTTCTCTGCCTTAGTTTTCTTAAGAAAATTCAGATAAATACTATCTGATTTTGTGAGGATTAGACTTACTATCATATTGTTTTAGAACAGTGCCTGGCTCATAGAAAGTAAATGTTGACTCTTTATTATTTGAAGTAATGACTTATCAAATTATCACGTGTAAATGATCTAGATTGTATTAATGTTCTTTCTAGATAACTCAAAAATCTAAGAAGAAATTGTCTGTGTTGAGTCACCATTTTATAAGACACCCAGCTAAGCAGTTTGAGGAAAACCCATCAATAATTTCTGACCTAACAGGTTTGTGATGATAACCTTTAAAGTAGAACTTTTCATTATTGTGTTTAGTAAGTATGCTATGAGTGTACAGCTGTTAGTATTTTGTACTAGGGGGAAACTGGTATACTTCAAGTATTATGGTCATGTTATTTTCTGATTGCCCTATCATGGGGCTAATGTGGTCTAGGTCTTAGTTTGAAAGGGGAAAGTAGAAAGGCAAATTGTAAGATATGGATCAAAGTTTGTGCTAGAAATGACTTGATAGATACAAAGGTTTTAGAGCTACATGTCCTTGTTTTTCCTGATGGTCACCAACAGTAAGCTGTATTATTTATAGTGTCTTTGTTTCTCAGTGCCGTTTATTCTTCATATTCTTGTGTTACTAGCCTATCATTTGCTGGATGTATTTGCTCATGAGCATTTACTGTTTTACTTATGTAAACATTTTGCTTGGGGAAAATAATACTCATTTCTTCTACTGAGAATTTCATTAAGTTAAAGACACTGAATATATTTATAATTCCTCACCTGATATGAACACAAGATTATGTTTCTGGATCTTATCTTTTAAAGTAGCCAGTGTTCAAAGAACCACTTGTTTGTTGTTGTTAGTAAGTATTTATCAGAATTCAAAAAAGAAAGAAAATTTTAATGTGGAAACAAGTAAAGCAAATAAATTAATTTCCTTCCCATTAAGGGACATCTATGTGGGTTCCAGTGAAAGTATCCAGGTGGACCTATGTGGCTTATAATGTAAGTATTCTATCAGTGTATTTTGTCTAAATTTACTCTCATATTTATCTTTAAAAGTTAAGAACTCTAAAAAACAAATCATATAATTTCCCCTGATCTACTAAGAATACCTAAATAATAAATACTAAATCTGTTCAATTACCCTATTTTATCATGAATTTGGACCTTTTTCTTCATTTTCCAATTTATTTTGTTAAGGATCTAAATGAAGCCACATATCATTGTTGTTTGATATGTCTGGTATTCCTCTTCAATATAGTTTCTACTGTTTTATTTCCTTTGAAATTTATTGGAAAAAAAAATCAGTCTCCTGTTATAATGGAATTTCATTGTATTTCTGTGGTCATTAAATATATTCCTTTGCCAGTTCTTCCCATGATTTAATAATTGGATCTAAATGCTTGATAGATTCATTTTTTTGTTAGATTTTTTTTTTTTTTGCCTTTCCTAGGCTCTCTTCTTGAGAGATGAACAGTTGGTAGGAAATGTCTGAATTATTTAATATAGGAGTATACAAAAATGATGACATTCTGTTTCTTTTTCATTTATTGACTAGGATACTGTACAAAAAAAATTTCCCTTTTTCTACTAAATTTTTCAAAAGTAGGACAAATCCCAAAGGACAGAATGATAAATGCTTGATTTTGTATGTAGTGGCTGTTAAGAGTGAGTTGGCTTGTTAGCATTCCTCATGGGTGACCATGGTTCATTCATGTATGTAAATATGTTTGCATTCATTCAGTTCATTGATTCTAAAGTTGTTCTTTGCCTGACAAGGTGAAGCATTTTCAAGTTTGGCTCTTTATCCTTTCAATACAGCTACTTAGTTGTAGTTACTGCTTGTGTCCTCATTTGCTGGTGTGACAAAATATTTCAGCTCAGTTTTTACCTCTCCCTGTCTGGTGCTGAATTTTCTATTGATTTAAGGGCTCATTTTATTTAGGAAACTACCTGCAGACCATAGCCTGGCTTATGGTTCTAGGTTGTTATTTATGGACCTTTCCAGTAGCCAGAGTGATCGAAAGTTCAAACATCACAGCCAGGCAGGGTGGTGCACCCCACACCTTTAATCCCAGCACTTGTGAGGCAGAGGCAGGAGGATTGCTCAAAGCCTGAGGCCGGCTCAATCCACAAGCAAATCCTGGACCACCCACTGCTATAAAATGAAACCCTGTCTCAAAAACCAAAACAAAACACCAAAAACAGTAATCAAAAGCTAAATCATCACACACATGAATGTGTTAAACCTTATGTTTCCAGAACATCTACAGAGGTTTTACTTTTTCTTTCCCCTCATTATTCTTACTTTCCATTCCTAGCCAATTGGTTCTTAGTAACAGCAATAATATATAATTAATTCTTATTACCATGATTTATTGAATGATGAAATTATTCACTCACTATAGTTAAATTGTTTTCTCTCTTTTTTTTAGGAGTCTGATAAGATTTATTTTACATTTCCTCTTGCAAATCATAGGAAAATCTACACTCATGCCTATTGTCAGAGCACTATGCTGGTAAGATGATTGGCATGTCTCATTTAGGTTTGAAAAGCTGTTGTTCATCCTTTTACTTTCAATTGATGGTCTAATAAGACTAGCTATAATTGTCATTGAGTTTAGTCAGTTGAAAACATTTGCTTAGAACAGTGTTTTGGTGGAGAATTATTAGGCACAGTTTACCTATAACTGATAATGTGCTGTTAAATTCTAAATTTGAATCTTCCATCCTGTCCTTCTACCTTAGATTCACTGTATTCAGGATGAGGAATTGAATCCTAAACTTTTGTTAGTTTTTAAAGAGTAAGTATAGTTGATGAAGCTGTCTGAATGGAGTTTTAGGAAATGAGCCTTGTTTTACTCTTTGATCATATACTAAAATGTAGGTGCTTTTTATACCAGAGTTCCTTAGGACAGTAGAGTGACTTTAATATAGGTTTACACTATCAAAGCAATGGCTTTTTCTTTTTAATGAAGGCCTGCTTCCATCAGTCACTGGATTCAGAGACCCATGGCCAAACATGGAGCAGAGGTCAGAGTGCTGCTGAGGAGAGGGAAGAGAGATTGTAGGACATTGGAGGAAAATCTGGCTGAAAATGCAGCTCATGCATTTGTGGGATTACAGGGTTGTTTTCTGTATTTAATGTCTACGGATGTATTGGTTTAAATGAGAATGCCCCTGTAGACTCACATATTTGAATACTTGGACCCTAGTTGGTAGAACTGTTTGGGAGTGAATAGGAGGTATGGCCTTGTTGGAGGAGATATGTCATGGGATGGACTTTGTGGTTTTAAAAGCTCATGCCATTTCCACTTGGTGTGCTCTGCCTGGGCTTGTAGATGGAGATGTGAGCTCTTAGCTACTGCTCCAGCATCATGCCTGCCTGTCTGCCTGCCTGCTGCCATGTTCTTCTCCATGGTGGTCATGGATCTTAACCCTCAGGAACTGTTGAACCCCAAATGAAATGCTTCCTTCTATAAGTTGCCTTGGTCATAGTGTTTTGTCACAGTAGTAGAAAGGTAATGAAGTCAGTGAGTGTTATCATAAGATAATATATGATTTAATTTTTTTTCAATTTTAATTGTAGAACATGTAAGCCTATATAGGGTGAAAATATGATAATGAATTATTTTGTAATCAGCACACAATTTTGAACAATTATCAGCATTGTGCCATTCCTGACTTTTAAGTGCTGGGGTTATGAGTTACTTGAATAACCACACCAACCTGCAGGTCTGTCCTTTTCTCCTGCTTCAGAGTGTCTCATTATAGTTCCAAGGAACTAGAGTCACACAGCATTTTGCCTACAGAGAGAGGAGAGAAATACTTGTTATTTTCCTATATTCTTAAAAAAAAGTCATCTTTTATTTAAGCCTCATGAAATCAGAGACTGACTGCCTGACTCATGGCTTTCTCTGAGACCTTAACTTTTTTGCCTTAGAATGGACTTTATAAATAGTGATTTGATGACAGGATTGACTTCATCATTCTTTATCTGAGATTCTAAGGCAGTCTTGACAGTGCTCCATGCTATCCTACACTCCAGTGGGATTTCAGTAATGTCAGATCTTGGATATCATATTTGGTTCCATAAAAAGCTGGGATGAAAATCTCAGTTGGTAGTGCTTTTTAAATAACCAAAGCTAAATGAAGGATGCTTTGTTTAAAAAAGAAAGAAAAGAAAGGTAGGAAGGAAGAGAAAGAGGGAGAGAGACATAGAGAGGGAGAGGGAAAAGCAGTTCATTTTACAGCATCTAATCCTCTGTTACTGTCAGTGTCCAGCCCTTGCATTGTGTTTCAGACTAAGCACATCCCCAGTGATAGAGAAGTTATTTCCTGGTAGTCAAATGAATATGCAGAAAGCAAAGTAATAAGCTGTCTATAGGATAAGGTTTAAATTTTAAGTTAATTTAAAATTTAAAACACCTGGCTGCAAGTATTTGTTTCTAGAAAAGTAAGTTCATACTTCTGCTAGACTGTAGGTTATTATATGTAACTAAAGCATGGACATTTGAGGCTGGAAGTTTGGGGGCAGCAGTTAGAAATCCATAGATCATGGGCTGAACAGATGCTCTGAGGTCAGTCTCATGCTGTGGGTCAGCTGCTCATCTAGTCCTAGTTGGTCCAAGTTAGTTGTCTACTCTTGGCCTATCCTTGACCTGTGTGTACTTAAAGAAAATATTGGATGTTTCTTAGTTATAAGCTGCTACATTGTATCCCTTGGTCCTAACCATGGCTGTTTTTGTATTATACCCATTGATGTTATATAAAAGGAAAGTATTAGAGGTGTTTGTTTTATTTCATTGTTTTCTGTTATTAACCAACAGGATACAAATAGTTGGATTTTTGGCTGCATAAACAGCACATCCATGTGGTAAGTCTTTTCAACCACTTGTTCATTTTTCTTAACACAAACAATGCTCAAAAATTAAAATTCCAGAATGCGCGCACACACACACACACACACACACACACACACACTTTTTTTTTTCTCTTTGGTTTTTGAGATTAGATCCCATTCTGTAGCCCAGGCTGTCCTGGAACTTATTGTGGAACTCCTGGCCTGGAACTCACTGTTATTCTCCTGCATCAGCTCCCCCAGTGCTGATATTAAAGACGTGAACCACAACAAATGGCCAGAAGATCTTCATATTGTCATCATATGTTTATTTTGCTGCTGTATTAAATTGTAACTTTTATATTTTAAATTTTGATTATTGTGTTCTACTGTCTGTGTACATATATGTGCGTGCATGTGTGTGTGTTTGTGCTCTGTGTGTGTATGCAGTGTGTGTTCATGCATGCATGTGCTGTGTGCCTGCATGTGTGTGTCTGTGTGTGTGCAAATGTGTGTTTCACGTGCATATGTGTGGGGGTATGCATGCCATAGCATATGTATAAAGTTTAGAGGACAGCTCTTGGGAGCTGGTTCCCCTCCTTCATTCTGTCAAGCTTACACTACATTGTTTTTCCCATCCACTCATCTCATTGGCCCTAATTTTGTGTGTGTGTTTTTTTTTTTTTTTTAATGAAAACAAAAGAAGATTTATATACTAGCAAATTTTTAAAATTTTTTGAACTAATTGATTGTTAGGAAAAACCGATCTTTTTGTTGTTTTGCCTAGGGAGCTTTATGGATTTGTATATAGACTGCATCCTCATTGCTACTATACAGTCTCTCATCTACAGGGCTGCAGATGTTTTTTTCCTCTTTACTCTGAAGTGTCTTTGTAAATTATGATACCTGAACATTTGTCCTCTAATTATCCCCTCATCTTTATTTCAAAGCCGGCAAGGGGTTGATTTATCATGGAGAGCTGAATTGCTGCCAACAATTAAGGTAAATGATAGCTTTAGAATTTTACATTTAGGTAAAAAAAAAACTGGTAGAGGTTTTAAAATGTGCTCTTTTAAAAAAGTCTTAGGAGTCTTCTCTTTGGAAATGTATTTGATGAGGAGCTGTGTTTTCAGAGATTAAAATCTGTAAAATGACATCTTGCTGAATCTGTTGCAGCATCATTTGTTACAGGAACAAGAGGGACTTTAAAAAATTTTCTTTTCGAGAATATGCTTAAATGATTTGTTCTTAACTATAAACTGGCTAATGTATTCTATTGAGAATTCATCTTGGGAAGAAGGACCTTGCAGTGGGAAGTGGTTATTTCAAGGAGACATTCAGTAATTTTTCTAGATTATATCACATTGTAGTGAAACACTTGGGTAACTCTTGTATCTAGTTCCCCAGGGTGGTAAATCACAGCATGGATTTACTTAATAATTGTTAGTGATTTCCTTAAGTGACTCTAGTAAGTTGGCAAGTCTTTAAAAAAGACTAATTTGTATATTCTCAAAATCTATTGTGGAAAATGCAAAATAAATCTGCAATCTGATGAACATATCTGTTCTAGTTTCCAAATTGTGTTTATTATAATTTATAGTCTCACATGGATTTTGTAGTTTCAGTTTCCATACGTTAAAATAAACCATAGTTTTCTAACGAACTCAGACTTGAAACAGAAGACATGTATCTGGTCCCAGTCCTCTCCCATTGGTACCAACTGAGTTATTTTTTTCTCAAGGATGCTAATCTCTTTATTGTGGGAGCAGTGCTGGGGGCTGTCCTCCAGTCAAGTCCTGTCCATCACTGAGTAACATCATCAGTCCTCAGCTTTTTGTTTTTGAGGTAGGGGAGGGGTCTCACTAAGTGTACACACTGCCCTTGAATTCCTTTATAGCCCAAGTAGACTTTGGCAAATACTCCTGCCTCAGTCGCCTGAGTGCCTGGAGTGTACATTTGTATAAACAGTTAACTCTGTGTTTATTGTACTGTCAGGAAGCAACTTTAAAAGAAGAATGATGTCAGAGGAATAGTCGCTTAAACAACTTTGGTTGTGGGTTTTTTTGTTTTGTTTTGTTTTTTGCTTTGTTCATTCTTTGTGTGTATTCATTTGGAAACAAATACTACTTGTATTTGTAAAACAAATGTATAAAGAAGCAATTTTACTCAACAGCATCTTTAAAAAAAAAAAATCTATCCTTGGGTCTTTCCTAATCTTTCAGGCCAAAGCAAAACAAACAAAAGTTATTAGGATTGATATAGAATTGTATTTCATTTTCTTGAAGATACATGAGTATTTCTTTAAATTTCAAACTTGGAAATTTTATCCATTCTATAATTTCAGAAGAAATGGATGACTAAAGACCTTCTAAAACATACTCTGCCTTGGTTTTCGCTGGGTGTGGTGTACACCTGTAACCCAGTGCTCAGGAAGCAGGGCAAGGAAGAACCTAGAGTCAGCCGGGCCTCTGTGTCATGAGAACTTCCCCTCCCCAAATTATTTAAGTTTCTTAAGTAAATACTATTTTTATAAATCTACAAAGACTGAAAAAAATGTGTTTACTAAATGGTAGGTTTGCATTTATCCTTAACTTAGGAATTAAGTGTCTTCGTAGCCAGAAAGCAAGCTGTTCCAGCTGTCTTGCTTTTTAATAGTGATTTCTGGAAGAGAAGATTAAGTATTCTTCAGTCTTAGGTCTCTTACTTTTCAGATAATATTAAACACACACTTTCCTATTGTGCTAACAAGTTTTATATAATGTGTTAGTGAATTTTAAGTAGCACAGTTTTCTTCTAAACCATAAAAACGAGGGAATAAAGCAAAAGTGTGGTGGCTCATGCTAAATGTGTTACACAGTAAGTTCAAGGCCAACCTAGTGTATTAGTAGGAACCCTGTTTCCAACAAACCCCTCAATGTTTGTTGAGACTTAGCAAAGATTTTTTTTCTTTTTTATTTATATTACAAACAATCTTTACATGTCAATCTCAGTTCCCTCTTCCCCTGCCAACTCCACCAACCCCCTATCTCATCCCCTTTTTGCTCCCCAGGGAGGGTGAGGCCTTCCATGGGAGAATTTTCAAAGTCTGTCATATCATTTGCAGCAGGGCCTAGGCCTTCCCACATGTATCTAGGCTGAGAGAGTAACCCTCTATGTGGCATGGGCTCCCAAAGTCCATTTGTACTCTAGGGATAAATACTGATCCACTATCAGAGGCCCCATAGACTACCCAGTCCTCCTCACTAACACCCACATTCAGGGGTCCTTTGCTGGTTTCCCAGCTATCAATCTTGGGTCCATGAGCTCCCCATTATTCCGGTTAGCTGTTCCTGTGGATTTCTCCAGCCTAGTCTTGACATCTTTGCTCATCTCTTCTCCCTCTCTGCAACTGGATTCCAGGAGTTCGGCTCAGTGCTTAGCTGTTGGTGTCTGTTTCTGCTTCCATCAGCTACTGGATGAAGGATCTAGTATGCATATAAGGTAGTTATCAATCTTATTATATGGGAAGGGCATTTAAGGTAGCCTCTCCACTGTTGCTTAGATAATTAGTTGGGGGTCATCCTTGTAGATCTCTGGACATTTCCTTAGTGCCAGATTTCTCATTAGACCTATAATGGTTCCCTCTATTATGGTATCTCTTTTCTTGCTTTCCTGTATGCACTACCCCCTCCCCCATTCAACCTTCCTGGTCCCTCATGTCCTCCTCTCTCCTCCTCTTCTTTCCTTCTTTTTCTCCTAACTCCCTATTCCCTCCCCCATGCTCCCAATTTGCTAGGGAGATCTTGTCCCTTTCCCCTTCTCTGGAGGACCATGTATGCCTCTCTCAGAGTCCTCCTTGCTTCCTAGCTTCTCTGGTGGTGTGGATTGTAGGCTGGTAAACCTTTGCTCTATGTTTATTATCCATATATGAGTGAGTACCTACCATGTTCGTCTTTTAGTGACTGTTTATCTCACTCAGGATGGTTTCTTCTAGTTCCATCCATTTGCCTGTGAATTTCAAGATTCTTTTTTTTTTTTTTCCCCTGAGTAGTACTCCATTGTGTAAATGTACCACATTTTCTTTATCCATTCTTCAGTGGAGGGGCATCTAGGTTGCTTCCAGGTTCTTGATATTACAAACAATGCTGCTATGAACATAGTTGAACACTGTCTTTGTTGCATGGATGTGGATCATTTGGGTATATGCCTAAGAGGGGGATTGCTGGGTCCTGTGGTAAACTAGTTCCCATACTGATCTCCAAAATGGCTGTACGAGTTTGCACTCCCACCAGCAGTGGAGGAGTGTTCCCCTTTCTCCACATCCTCTCCACCATAAGCTGTTGTTTCTAATTTAAGCAATTCTGACAGGAGTAAGATGGTACCGCAGTTGTTTTGATTTGCATTTCCCTGATGGCTAAGGATGTTGAGCACTTTCATAAGTGTCTTTCAGCCATTTTGGATTCCTCTATTGAGGATTCTCTATTCAGTTCTGTACCCTACTTTTTAATAGGGTTATTTGGTGTTTTGGTAACTAGTTTCTGGAGTTCTTTGTATATTTTGGAAATCAGCCCTCAGTCAGATGTGGGGTTGATAAAGATCTTTTCCCATTCTGTGGGCTGCTGTTTTGTCTTGTTGACTGTGTCCTTTTCCTTATAGAAGCTTCTCAGTTTCAGGAGGTCCCATTTATTAATTTTCAATCTCAGTATCTGTGCTGTTGGTGTTAGGTTAAGAAAGCAGTCTCCTGTACCAGGTCATTCACGGGTACCTCCCACTCTCTCTTCTAAGAGGTTTAGTGTGGTTGAATTTATGTTGAGATCTTTGATCCATTTGGACTTAAGTTTTGTGCATGTCAACTGATATGGATCTATCTGCAGTCTTCTACACACTAGCATCCAGTTTACCAGCACCATTTGTTAAAGATGCTTGCTTTTTTCCTTCCATTGTATAATAGCTTCTTTGTTAAAAAAAAAAAAAAAATCACGTGTGCATAGGTATGTGGGTTAAAATCAGGGTTTTCAATTCGATTCTATTGGTCTACCTGTCTATCTTTGTGCCAATACCAAGCTGTTTTCAGGACTATAGCTCTATAATAGAGCTTGAAGTAAAGGATGGTGATGCCTCTGGAAGTTCCTCTATTGTACAGGGTTGTTTTGGCTATCCTGGGTCTTTTGTTTTTCCATATAAAATTGAGTATTATTCTTTCAAGGTCCATGAAAAATTGTGCTGGGATTTTAATGGGAATTATATTGAATCTGTAGATTGCTTTTGGCAAGATTGCCATTATTACTATGTTTATCCTACCTATCCAAGAGCATGGGAGTTCTTTCCATTTTCTCATATCTTCTTAATTTCTTTCCTTAAAGATTCAAAAGATCTTAAGTATTTATCTAAGTTTTTCCCTGAATGAAAACATCCTGCAAGGTCTTAGGCTGACACTGTTTGCTTAGTTACTCCCACTTGACCAGCATTGCCATCTTAGGGATCACTGTCAGATGTAACTTTCATTTCTGTAATTAGGAGAACATAATGTATTCAAACCTGGCAGTAACTTCAAAGTAGCCCATTCTCTACATCATAGGCATACAAATAAAGACGTGATAAAATGATTAAGTGAAAAACATTTTGTAGGTTTTATGCCATTGATGTCATCTGAACAAAGGTAATGTGTAAATCATCACTCTGAGGCACCCTTGGTGACTGTGCTTTAGTAAATGGGTGGAGTCCTCCAGTACAGTGCTACAAATTCTAAACTGTCATTACTGAGAATCTGTGTTTAGCACCTCTCAGAGCTGATTACTACACAGAACAACTCAGTTCTTCCTAACTGATCTGTCTTTCACGCTCTTTACCCAGCTGCCTATAGCTGTAATTTATGCAGCAGCTATACCACTCTTTTGTTTCCATTAAGGCATTGGAGTTGGTTGCTTGGTTGTGCTTCTGGTCAGGCTGTTAGAGAGATACTGTCTCAGTTTTTAGCTTCTGTGCCATGTCCTACTTGCCCACATTAGTGTTTCTGAAAGAGAGTGAAGAAAACAAATGTCTTTAGAAACTTCTTAATGTACATATATTACATTCATTCCAGTTCTACATCTACTTCCAGAAATAAAACTGGATTAAAAACTGCTTGGAATCTCAGCAATTATTAAAAAGGCTAGTCTCCAACCTTAAATATTCCTTAAATATGGACTATAAAATTTGGTTTTAATTTTTATGTAGTAGAACAAATTATAGTTGTTCATTTGGAGAAATGCATCATTAATTATGTGTCTTTGTCGTGTTCTAAATAAATTTTATTGGATGCCAGTGACTCTTTGCTACTTTAGCTAAATGAGAATCCTTGGGGATTAAGTTGTAGCTTATCCATTGCATTTAGCAACTTCTGAGTGTTCTTTGTCATTTGCTACCATAAATGTAGAAATACTACTATAATGTTCTCTGTAATAGATGGCCAAATTATAAAAACAAAACACCACATTTGGAAATAATTATATAAAATCATTAACTTTAATGTTAGCATCATTTATTTTACCTGGAGATATTTCAGGGGATATTTTAGGTGGTTTGTATTCAACAGTAGTTACTATAAATTTATCTTGTAGCATTGTTGACCTGGGAGTGTAAATGTGGATATAAATTTGATTTGTGTGTATTTTTGTGGGAGTGTAGGGATATGCTGAAAGTTAAACTCAGGGCCTCATTCATAGTAAGTGAGTGATTTAAGAGATGACTTTTAAAATAACTCACAGAGAAATAAGTTTTCATAATTTTTTTGACATCCACTCATCTCTGCCTCAGAAATAAAGTGACTTTGTGTCTTTACCTCTCTCTACTTTCAGTCTCTGACGTTAAGGCTTCAGGATTATCCATCCTTGTCGCATATTGTCGTCTATGTTCCATCTGTCCATGGAAGCAAGGTAACAGCTATCTTAAGGTTTTTATTGGAATGCATGGGTGATACACATGTGAAACTTTATTTTTTTCAGTGATTTCTGGATAGGTACAGGCTTATCTAAAACTATGGCGATCCACCTGATACTAAGTCCACTCACCTTGAACTAAGTAAAATAAGTACAGATCTTTTTGTGCCTAACTGGCTTCAGTTTGTCACTTTCCAAACTATTACTTTCTAGGTACCATTTTATGTATACAATATTGGGAAATACTAGAAAATATAGAAAAGACCCGCTGCCATTTATCATCCTGATGTTTAAGAAGGAAAAAGAATAATATCAGATAATGAGAAAACACAGATTTTTAAAAAATACATAGAGTACAGTGAGTCCATAGAAAGTGCAAGCCACAGTAATATCACTGAGGAATTCAGAATGGCTTTATCATGAAGTGATGGTGGATGAGGTGACAATGAATGGCCTTAAGGAAGATTTAAGGACTTCTGTGGGAAAGAACAATATTCTAGATCAGTTCCTGTCAAGCCCCAGGTTATTACTGTGTGTGCCTATTTATATTTTAATTAATTAAAATACAATAAAAATCCAGATTTCAGTCTCTTTGTACTACACACATTCCAGAAACGAGTAGTCCTGGGCAGGGTTGTGGAATCCTTCATTGAAACAAACCATGAGCAGAAGGCAGTGGAAGGCCTCAGTGCCACACCAGGAGATTGAGGGCCTTTAGTGGTGAGGAGGGAGTAGGGGTGAAGGGTTGAAGATTTTGGGAGAGTTACAGGGAATAAAGTGCAGAGGGGAGAAGGCCCTTTTCTCCTCCTTCCTCCTGTAGACCAGCAGGTAGACCCTTGAAGGTCCATCCCAGGTGTGGCTCCTTCCCTTTCCCACACTACTCCAGCCATTCGTGTGATACTTTCTGATGACTCTTTGAGGGATAGTCATATTACATTGTGTTTTAAATTACTTGCTGATATCTTCATTGTCATCAGCATGCTGTAAGCTCTGAGATTAACAACCAGATACATCCCCCCCCCACATTTTGTGCCTACAATCTGCAGTGATGACCACATTAAACAAAAATACAAAGTTTTTTGAATGAGAAATTGATGAGCTTTGTGATCAAAACAATTAGTAAAATTTAGAAGAAAACGGAAAGGAAAAGGGGTGTAGCTGCAAGTCATCTTTAAGACTGGTATCAGTGCCTGTATGGATTCATTGTTTTGTTTTGTTTAGCTTAAGGGAGAGGTAATTCGTCATCTTAGGCACTAAAAGCTCTCTTTAAGGGTTTTGAATGAATCTGACATCTTCCCCCTTTCTGGTCAGTGAGCCTTTCTGTAAATAGGTAGTTGTAGCAGATGAGTACATACACATAGTCTGCCTTGGTGCTCTTTAGACAGTAGCACTGTTCTCTATGCTGTTGCTTGCTCTGTCCCCTGGAGTGAACATTTAGATGTTTGATTTCTGCACACCAGTGCACAGCCCGACATCAGAAATCTGCATACCAAAAGTTCACTCAACAGGTAGCTTTATGATTTGGGAACTACAGTATGGAACTAGCTGCATTTCCCCCGTGATCAAAAACAAGCCCAGAAACTGGCCAACTTTGGAAATTTTAGCGAGGGACCTTCGGGTTCTGCCTTTCTTGGTTAAGGATTTGTTTCACTATGCAGAGCTAAGAGCATAGCCAAATTTTGAAATGATAAAAAAAAAAATCTGTTATTTTAAATACCTTTAGATAAAATGACTTTTAAAAACTGCTTCACCATCTCATGAGTCATCTGAAGCTCTGTGGTGGAAGGGTTTCTTGTTTGGCTTGTGAAGAGGGATGAAGCAAAGCACTTAGCACGCTGGGTTTTCTTTCTGTGTACCACACATTTAGCCAAGTCTAATAGAAGTCTACTTCGCCTGTTTTCCAATTTAAAAAAAAAATTGTCAGTCCATCTCTGGACAAAAGGAATAACATAGCTGAGAGAGCTGAGGTGCAGTTGCTACAAAGCCTAGGATGGACTCTGTGGCTTCCCAGAAACTGTCCCTCCTGCAGATAGCCAAAACAGAGTTTCCTACACATGACTAGAAATGTTATTTAAAAAAAAAAAAGAAATGTTGTTAGAATAAAAATTGTACTGGCATGCCACATTCTAGATTTCCTTTTGTGAAAAGCACACTTTTTCCTAAGTGAGAACACTTTTTTTCCATTTTCTGTAATAACTTGCTGATCTGTAATAATCTCATATAAGCAGCATTAGCTATAGATGAGTGTAGATGGGGGGCTGACTACAGATGCCTTTTATAGCCTGATTAAACTATAGATACTTTAAAAAAAACTACAGGATTTAATAAAAAATCATACGTAACAAAGTTATGTTTCCCTTGACTAGGAAAGTACTCATATGCATATACAAATCATTAATTAATTTTAAATTATCTTTGTGTCTCAGTGCTTTTATCTACCTTCTGAAACACCTGATGTTGTATTAAAACTTTGTATTGAATTTGTTATAAAAATGACTTTCCAGATAATTTAATATATTTGATTAAGCAATTGCTTTCCTAGTCTTCTTAGCATAGCATCTGTTTGAGGAATTCTTGCCAGAACTACAGTATAATCAGTGGTGCTTTCTCCAAAGCTACAGTTTTCCACACAAACATCAAGATTTTTACTAAGTCGAATGCTGTATTTTCTAATAAATCAATGTCATTTTATCTCAGTTTGTCGTAGACTGTGAATTCTTTAAAAAAGAAACAAGATCCATACCACTTCCTGTAACTCATCTTTTTTCCTTTGGTAAGTATTTTGATTTTGAAGCTTTTAGCAGTGCCAGTTCATCTTGCCAGTCATAGAATATTAAATATTAGTATGTTTCAAGTATAGTTCTTAGGAAACTATGTGATCAGGTTCAGTAGGCCAGCAGTCAGCTCCCGAGAAGTGAACTTGAAGGGATGTGCCTTAGTGGGTTTTCTATTGCTGTGATAAGACCATGACCAAGGCAACTTATAAAGCAAAGAATATAATTAGAGGACATAAAGGCAAAGCAAAGGCATGGAGGGTGGGACAGCTGAGAACTCACATCTTGATCCCAAAGAAGAAGGCAGAGAGAGACGACTTCACAGCAGGCTTTTGAGACCTGAGAACCTGCCTACCTGACATACTTCTTTGAACAAGACCACGCCTCCTAATCCTTTCCAAACTGTTCCTCCCACTGGGGACAAAGTATTCCAACACATGAGCCTCTGAAGGCCATTCTCACCCCAAATCACCTGTATTTTTCCATAATTATATAAACTCTCAGTAACCAAGTACTTCTGTATATGTAGAGTATTATGTGAAATTTTTACTAATACTGGGCCATTTTATAGTTGTTTTCACAGAACAAACTTTGATTGTTATTACTTAAACAAGTCACATTTCTCTTTCTGATTCTATATTTGTGCCTTCAGCACTGTCATAATGGTTTTTCTGCTCATCCATAGGAAATCACACTTGGTTCAGTCATGGACATACATCTATTAAATTGTTGTCTGACTTATGACTGTTTCATGACTATATGTTATTATATTTTTTTAATGTGTATAGATGTTTTGCCTGCATGTATATATGTGTACTATGTGTGTGCAGTGCCTGTAGAAGCCAGAAGAGGGCATCAGATCCCCTGGAAAACAGATGTTTTTGAGCCACTGTGTCATTGCTGGGAATTGATTGGACAGGTCTTCTGGAAAGCAGGCAATACTGTTAACCATTGAGCCATCTCTCCACCCCCCCAATTAAATGTTCTGATGATATTTATTTTGAAAGATCTACAGTTGTTACGAAAGAGTACAGACTTCCTTTATATCCTTGATTGATCTTTCCGTGATGTTGGCCTCTTACATAAATATAATACTTTATTTTTGGCCCACCCCCACACCCCAGTGGCTTGCTGTGTAGCTCAGGCAGGCTGGCCTTAAAACTTGTGAATCTCCTGCTTTAGCCTCCTGATCTTAGAACCTTCTCTACCATGTTTGCTAACACAATCTTTTTTTTTTTTTTAAATTATCTGTATGTGTCTGTATCTGTATCTAGGCATGTGCGCATGAGTGTAGATGCCTGCTGAGGCTAAAGGTGTCAGATCCCCCTGGAGGTGGAATTAGCTGTGATGTGGGTGCTGGGAATGAAACTCAGACCCTCTGTAAGAGCTATGTGTGTTCTTAGCCACTAAGCCATCTTCAGCTCCACAGTAGAGTTTTAAATCTAAATTAGTATTGGTACAATATTTATTAACCTAACAAGCCTGTGGAGGGCCTCTGAGCACGACCCGCCTTGGGGGTGGGCCGACCGGCCCCTTCTGACCCAGATATTGTGGTAAAGCGGTAACAATGGCCGTAGTGTTTTCAGGGAGAAATAACTTACAACCTAGACAGATGACACCAGGTTCCCCGCCTCTCCTGTCTCGTCGGGCCCCCCCCCGGCCCCCCCTCCCCCCCCCCAATGGGCGGGTCAGGGGCCACAGAAGGACACCTCACTACACAAGCCTCATTTATTGCCAGTTTTGCTTCGGATCCTCACCTAGAGGCCTCGATAGGGTTTGGTTATGTTTCCTGTAACTCATGTCAGTACCTCAGTCTTCCCATGGCCTCTATCACTTTGAAACATTTCAAGAGTACTCAGTAACTTGTAGAACACCATTTGGATTTGTTTAATACTGTGACATTTTCAGGTTGAGCTTATATATTTTTTGCCAAGAATACCACATCTCGTGTGTCAGGATGTGCAGTGTTAATAAATCTAATTACTGTGGTATTAATTTTGACATTTGGTTAATTAAGGTGGTGTCTGGCAGATTTCTCTACTATACAGTTACTGCTTTTCCTTTACCATTAATAAATATCTTGGAGAAAAAATTTGAAAAACTAAGTAACTCATTAATTTTAGCATACAATGGGTCACTTACTCCTTAACAAGTAATTACTATTGCAGTCTCCATTTATTGAAATCCTGAGATAGAGTTGCTTTATCTGTCTTATTTATTCATTTGTTTTTTAAGACAGTATGCATTATATATATATATATATATGTATGCATTTATGTATTTACTACACACACACACACACATATATGTTGGGGGTCTACTTCAGTAGTGGAGTACTCGCTTAGCGTATATATTTTATTCATGGTGTTATAACATAATATTAGTGTTAGACATGCTTTTGCACAGGTCTTTCCAGCTTTTGACTTTTGGAGGTCGTTTAGTTTGGTTACTGTTGTACCTTTTAGTAAGCTAAATCCTTCATACATGTAACCACACATATGTACACACATATGCATGTGTCCCTTTCATGAAAAGAATCAGTGTTGCTTGTGATAGAAAACTTCCTTTCAGGGCTTTTCTTTGTCCCCCATCTGACTCCCTGTTTTGTGGTACAAAATGCTCAGGAAAATACAAAAGTAACAACTCTGAATCACCTGTGTCAGTTAAATAGCATGCTTTCAAAACAAATCTTCTAAAATTGGAAATAAGTACTTGACTTTTAAAAAGTACCTTCAGCATCAGGAAGTACTATGAGTACTGTTTTATTCATCATTTTCTGCATGGGAATTTGATTTCTAACAGTTGCTTCCTATATAGCAGCAGTGAAAACCTGTTAACCTTACATTTTTAGACAGTCTGCCTTGTAGCCCAGATGGCTTCAATTAAGCAGGCAGCCTCAGCTGGCCTTAAGTTCATCACCTCTGCTCATATATGACCACACCAAGCTCTAATGGCTTTCTTCTAATTTCAAAGTTTTCTTGTTAATTGTAAAAGTTATTTAAGCAATCAGCCCAGTTTTGAAAATCCTCTGGTTCTTAAATAATGCAGTACTTTTAATTCAACAGGATTGACTTCAAGGAAGGCGATATTAAATACAAATGGCCTGTACTACAATATAGAACTTCTGAACTTTGGACAGGTAACTCCTATGAGTAGAAGAGGAAGAATTTCATCTTCTTTTGCTATTTCATTACACGAATAATCTTTGTTTTTTGTCTTTCTCAAACTTTGTCAGATATACCAAGCTTTTAAAGTCAACGTGGTAAGCAAGTGCTCTGGAGGCAAAGGTAAGTGTGTAACATTGCATCTGAAGAGCAAGCAAGGTGCCTTGACATCTCTAGGATGCTTGTTTCATCTCTTTCCTTTCATATAGTTTATGTGGAGTAAAACTAAATATATGACATTAGAAAATATTTCCAAGGGATGTAGCATAGACTCTTTCTTAATAGTAAAGCATATTTATGTGTTTAAAAGTACTATCTATTTTGGGATGGGTGAGATGGCTGTGCAGATCTTAGTTCCCAGAACCCATGTAAAGGTGGAAGAAGTGAATGACTCCATGAAATCTCTCTGGCCTCCACACAACCATGTGTGCTCACATGCAAGCCTTATACACAAGCATAAAAGGAACCATGCATTGTTAAAAAGTTACAGTACTGTGGGTCTTTATGTCTTCTTACAGTTGCAACTCAGGTTTACCTCTTTAATTTTGTTTTAGATTTTTAGTACTACTCATAAATACCTTAATATCTTTTATGAGCCTGACATTCAAGAATGCTCTTTCATTTGCTATGACCCACACTGATCTTTTTGTAAAATAGGCAGTTTATATGTACTAGTTTTATAGTTTGTGTACAAGTTAAGGTAACACACAATAATGCTTCTCTGCTTTGTTTCTTAACAGAAGAAATAACTAGTATCTATAAACTTCATATTCCCTGGTCTTATGAAGATTCCCTAACCATTGCACAGTAAGTATATGAAAGAATTTACTTTAAACTTAGGTGTTTTAAAGTAGAGCCTGTGCTTAGTTTGTCATATGCATTATTAAAGTTCCTTTTAGTACAGTGTATGTACCCTTTAATGCCATGCTTATTACTTAAGATACGTGTACAGTATCTGTCTAAAGAATTAAGTGCTTAAATCTTACTTGAAAATGAAATCTCTTTAATTAATTTCTATTTAAATTAAAAACAATTTTATTTTACATACATGATCCCAGTTCCATCTCCCTCCCATTCCTCTCACCAAACCCCATCCCATCCCCCATCCACAACTAGCAGGATACAAGATAAACTCAAAAAAAATCAGTAGCCCTACTTTTTTCAGACGACAAAGAGGCAGAGAAAGAAATCAGAGAAACATCACCCTTTATAATAGCCACAAGCAACATAAAGTATCTTGGTGTAACGCTTACCAAACAAGTAAAAGACCTATATAATAAGAACTTTGTGACTCTAAAGAAAGAAATTAAAGAAGATACCAGAAAATGGAAAGATCTCCCATGCTCTTGGATAGGTAGGATTAACATAGTAAAAATGGCAATCTTGCCAAAAGCAATCTACAGATTCAATGCAATCCCCATTAAAATCCCACCACAATTCTTCACCAACCTTGAAAGGATAATAATCAACTTTATATGGAAAAACAAAAGACCCAGGATAGCCAAAACAACCCTATACAATAAAAGAACTTCAGGAGGCATCACCATTCCTGACTTTAAGCTCTACTACAGAGCTATAGTTCTGAAAACAGCCTGGTATTGGCATAAAAATAGACAGGTAGACCAATGGAATCGAATTGAAAATCCTGATATTAATCCACGCACCTATGAACACCTGATTTTCGACAAAACAGCTAAAATTATACAATGGGGCAAGGACAGCATCTTCAACAAATGGTGCTGGCACAATTGGATGAGGGTGTGTAGAAGACTGCAGATAAACCCATGTCTGTGGCCATGCACAAAACTCAAGTCCAAATGGATCAAAGACCTCAACATCAATCCAGCCACATTGAACCTCTTAGAAGAGAAAGTAGGAGGTACCCTTGAACAAATTGGTATAGGAGACCGCTTCTTGAACATAACTCCAGGGGCACAGACACTGAAAGAAACAATTAATAAATGGGACCTCTTCAAACTTAGAAGCTTCTGTAAGGCAAAGGACACAGTGGACAAGACCAAACGGCAGCCCACAGACTGGGAAAAGATTTTCACCAACTCTATATCTGACAAAGGGCTGATCTCCAAAATACACAAAGAACTCAAGAAACTAGTCAACAAAACACCAAATAACCCTATTAAAAAATGGGGTACAGAACTGAAGAAAGAATTCTCAATGGAGGAAATCAAAAAGGCTGAAAGACACTTAAGAAAATGCTCCACATCCTTAGCTATCAGGGAAATGCAAATCAAAACAACTTTGAGATACCATCTTACCCCTGCCAGAATGGCTAAAATTAGAAACACCAGTGATGACTTATGTTGGAGTGGATGTGGAGAAAGTGGAACACTCCTCCACTGCTGGTGGGAGTGCAAACTCATACAGCCATTTTGGAGATCAGTATGGTGGTTCCTCAGGAAAATGGGAATTAGTTTACCACAGGACCCGGCAATCCCCCTCTTAGGCATATGCCCAAAGGATTCACATCCATGCAACAAAGGCATCTGTTCAACTATGTTCATAGCAGCACTATTTGTAATAGCAAGAACCTGGAAGCAACCTAGATGCCCCTCAATTGAAGAATGGTTAATGAAGATGTGGCACATCTACACAATGGAATACTACTCTGCAGAAAAAAAATAATGGTATCTTGAAATTCGCAGGCAAGTGGACGGCACTTGAAGAAACCATCCTAAATGAGGTAACCCAGTCACAAAAAGAGGAACACAGTATGTACTCACTCATATATGGATTTTAGACCTAGATCAAAGGATCACCAGCCTATAATTCACACCACCAGAGGAACTAGGATACAAGGTGTATTCTAAGAGATTCATATAAAGTCCCTCACAGAACTGGGAAGGGACAAGTCCCCCAGAGCTCAGGTGAAGTGGGGGAAGACAGCGAATGGAGAGAGAAGTAGGAGAAAATGAGGGGGAGGAAAGGAAAACCTGTGTAACCTGGAAGATTGAGCCTGGTTAGGAATAGAAGATAGGAAAGAGAGAGACAGAGACAGAGAGAGAGAACATAAAAGAGGGAGCCAATATTGGTTTGAAGATAAAATTGAACACAAAGAAATGTCGAGAGAACTACAAGACTGCTCCCAACTAACAATCTCAGCTTCCATGGAAAGGCTATCATAAATGCCCTTCCCAGAGAGTGAGATCAACAACTAAATTCTCCATGGAGCCCTCAACTAATGCCTGTTGAAAATAGGAGCAAACACCCATACATAAACACTGAGTCGAACTAGAACCCAGAAGCAGATGGAGAGGACAAGACCACGCGGCAGAAGCACATAGAGACAGCTTACCTGAACAAGGAGGAGCTAACGGGCCCCCAGACTGATAGCTGGGAAGCCAGCATGGGACTGACTCAGGCCCCCCTGAACATGGGTCTCAGCCAGAAGGACTGAGAAGTCTAAGGGACCTCAGACAGTGGAGCCAGGATGTATCCCTGGTGCACAAAAGGACTTTGCGAACATATCCCCCATGGAGGGATAACTGCCTTAATCTAGAGACAGGAGAGAAGCCCTAGTCCCTACCTTCACAGGGCCTGTCAGATCTACATGACTCCATGGGGGATCATCAAAGTCTGTCACATCATTTGGGACGGGACCTAGGCCCTCTCTCATGTATGTAGGCTGAGAGAGCATCCCTCCATAGGGAATGGGCTCCAAAAGCCCTTGTGCACTACAGATTAATACTGGTTTCACTGCCAGAGAGGTCCCATAGACTGTCCAGGCCCCCCAACTGACACCCACATTCAGGGTGCCTGGTTCAGTACTATGGCGGTTCAAAAAAGAAAAAAGAAAAAAAAAGAAAAGAAAATGAAATCTTACCTAATCTCCACCATTCCCCAAGTGCTAGAGGTAGCAGCCAAGTAACTGTGACATGAATGAAAGTGTCCACTCGTGATATCACATCTGTCATTTATCGCCCTCTGCATTAGTTCATTATATTGTGCTGAAAATTGGCTTAGCTAGGGATTTTTACCAGCGTTTTATATATGACGATTGATATTTCAATAATCTCTTCAGGGTTCCATCTTCCACAGAAATTTCTCTGAAGCTTCACGTTGCTCAGCCGGAAAATGACAGCCACGTGGCGTTGTTAAAGATGTACACGTCGTCAGACTGTCAGTATGAGGTAAGACATACATTTGCATCCTTAAGTATGGTTTAGTTATAGGCAAGTAGAGGTCTTTTTTCTGTTAGCTAAAGATGTGTCATCATATGGAAGCCCGCACATATGAGAAATTAAACTTAAATATTTTCCACTTTGCTTCTTTACCATATTTTAGTATTTCTGTAGACTGAGCATTATGTAAAAGAAGAGGAAACTTATTATTCTAAATAATTAGAATATTGTTATTCTAAATTTTAAATTTATTAAAAGGTTATTTTAAATTTTGAAGGCCAGAATTAAGACTCTTTCATAAACTGAAGAGCTTCATTTAATTAGCTGCCATGTTTTCCTGTAGTACAGACATGGTGCGTGCTGGTTTGTACCAGTACTGACTGGTTAGTTTAAGGATCTGGCCTTTACTGCTTTTTAAGATCTGTATGCTTTTCAGTGGTGACATTACTACTCTGGCTTATGTGAATTGTCTTATTCCTGGTTGGCCTCCCAAAGTGTCTGGGTTCTGTAATAGGAATAACTTCATTAGGGTAAAATACGAGATAGCCGATTGGTGCAATCTGGTCTATGACCAAGTTTCAGGTGTTCCTATATAATGAATTTGTATCTCTTCAAATCCATAGATGATATTTTGTAATCTATTTCTAACAGTGAGGGGTATTGCAGGTCTACTGTGTTTTTCAGTTTATAACTTTGTCTTTCTAATAATAAATTGATAAGGGTTGTATTGTCCTGGGAGACAGAGGCAGGTGGATTTATGTGAGTTTGAGGCCAGCCTGGTTGACATAGTGAGTTCCAGGCCAGCCAGGGCTACAAGGTAAGATCCTGTCTCAAAAGAAAATGTGCTGTCAATTTGACTTCAAATACTACATGTTTGCTACATGTCCTTTTTTTAGTCTATATTTTAGGAAGACCACCATGTTATAACTTCCTTACTAAAGGTTTCCTTTTCCTAGATCTCTTGGTACCTAATATATATTAAGTATGAGTTGCTTTCATAAGTATTATTTTGATTTATATTTTTTTAACAACATGATCTCTTCATAACATAGTGTGGTTAATTAAATATTCTAGTTAGTAAAGTGTTGCCATCCACATACCATAGCATTCATTCAATTGTTGAGGAAGTGTGCTAAAATATATACAGAATAGTAAACTGTACTATAGACAGTTAACATGATGGTTTAGGATGTTCTTGTTTAATTGTTCAAAAATTACAATACTGAAAAGATATACAGAAGTACTCAATTTAATAACATGTGAAATGAATTTAGGAAAAAATAATCTTTTTTTTAAACATTTTATACTAGGTGACAATTAAGACTTCTTTTCCACAAATACTTGGACAGGTAAGAGAAATTTAATGCAAATTGGTTGATTATTTATTGCCATGTGATTTGGAAGGGATTTTAATCTTTCTCAGTAAACCAGTAATTTTTTAAGAACTACATATACTTAAAAATTTATAGTGTTAAGGAACCAATTAAAAATTATTTCCTGTAATACAAAATAATTCTTGCTCTTACATTTTCAAAGTATGCAAAGACTTTCCACTTAAATAGCTTAGAAAGAATATAGACATTGGCTCTTATCCATATCCTCGTGACCCATATTTCAGAGTAGTGATGAGAAAATTTAAGTTACCTTAGTATGCACACAAAATACTGATTTACAGCTAGAAGAGACCACTGGTGCTTTTTCTTTGCTGGGTGCTGGTTTCACATCTTCTGGTACTGGAAAGTCAACCAGCAGAGGCAAGTTTCTACTGTTACAGCCTGCAAACAAGATGTGTGGTATCTTCAGCATAGGGTTTCTTCTCTAGTTCCGGTGGATAACTAAGAGAACTGATAAGAGCCTTTTATTTGTGGGGCCTCTGAGACCTTCCTGAAACAGCTCCTCTGGAGATACCCCACACCCAGCACCAGACATTTGGTTAATGACATATTGATTCTAGGAGCAGCATTGTCTACCATGCAGTGTGTCTCCTTTCGATGGGCTCTGTGTGTGTGTGTGTGTGTGTGTGTGTGTGTGTGTGTGTGTGTGTGTGTGAATTGGGTTGATAAGATAGTAAGTTTCTATATGGTTGTTTCAGGTGTGTTTCCTTCATTTGGTTAGTTCTCTCCCCCTCTTCCATCAGAACCCCCCGCCCCATTCTTTACTTATCCCTTCCCGCCCTGGAACTCTCTACATTCCTCTTTACCTTTGTTTTGCTGGCCCTCTCCCTTTATGGCATCATGCCTACCAATGTCCCCTTCCTAGTTCTGTGTACACACACACACACACACACACACACACACACACACACACACGAGAGAGAGAGAGAGAGAGACAGAGAGATACAGAGAGACAGAGAGACAGAGAGGAGAGGAGGGTGGGAGGAGGAGGAAGAAGAAGGAGAAGAAGAAGAAATGGAGACAATTATTTAAGAGTAACCACTTTGATAATTTTCAGCCTTGGAATAGATGATTTTTTTTTCATAAACTTTTTTGCTGGAAAAGAAAAGATTACATCTTTAGAATATTCATCTGAAAGAGGACAAACAGTAATATACAAATTACTTTCCTCAGAGAATTCCATAAGCTGTAGTCACTGCAGAAAGGAAATCCAGTGTTGCCTGATCTTTACATTTTAAGGGTAACTAAAATCTAGGTCTTAAGGCTTTCAATTTTTCTCTGTTCACAAATACTTCAGATTTTAAGGAAACACTGTGCCAAGTGCTAATCCAAATGTAGCATTTCAACAGTTTAACTCTGAAGACCAATTTCTGACTGCTGATGTAGTTCCTTATGGACCAGCTGTATTCAAGCCTAGTATAACATGCTTCTAACAATGGCCCTTTGTCATTAAAATAAATCTTGTGTTCAGAACACACTATAGGACTTTATCCCAGATTCTAGAGACAGTTACAGATGTTCATGATGGATAACTCCTACTATTTTCAATCACTTGCCTGTGTCAGTTACCATGACAAGTAGTAGCATGATGTAGATGCATTAAGGGAGCCTCTCACCCCCTGAGGTAGATGCTGTTCATCTAGTGCTGCTGCCAGTGTATAAAGGCCAGAATGCCTTGTACAAAGACATATAGTTCAGTGGGAGCTGGGCATAGCTGTGAGCCCACTAGGCTGCTGAATTTCATTGCCATATTCTGTACTGTCAAGTTCAAGTGATCCTCCTGTTTCAACCTCCTGTGTAGCCACATACAAGCATTCTTTCTGCCCTGTATAGCTGAGGGGTTCTTTATACGTTTTCCTTTAATGACATTAGTAAGCAGTGATTATTGTTTGATAATGGCCTTTTCCATTTTTATCCACTTTTTCTCCTCCTTCCACTGAAGCTATAAATTGAGCATGAGCTATACATTTAAATTTTTTTTCTAATCTCTTTTGAGTCGGAAGTCATTTCCCTATCAACATTTCTAACTGCAGAAGGCTAGTGGACTCTGAACATAAACCTTTTTTGTCTGCTAAGTGAGACTCCTTCAGAGAACTTGAGGGGATGGGGCATAAGATGACGCATGTGAAGTTCCTGAAGCACTAAACACTCAGCAAGCTTGCTTTGAAGAATACTGGAAAAACTAGGAGACGCTGAGCTTTTTGAAGTTTTACACCCTGTTTTTTGTCAGGCTTCAACTTCCATAGGCTGTATCAGGTTGCCAGACAGTTTATGTTTTAAAAGGACTCCATGGAATGGAGAATAGCTTGAAGGTAAATTAATTTTACCATTAAGAGAAGTACTTAATGTGCACATATAAAAGTATCACAATTGAGCCTATTGTTTTGCTTAATTACCATATGCCAGTGGAACAATTTACTTAGCGTCAGTTTTTAATACAGTCTGCTTTATACAGCATATGTCATCTTGAAGCACTGGAACATATTGACTATGATCTTAGGCTGGATTTAAGTTCAGGTTTCACAGGGTTTCCAAATTTAGTGAAGGTTAATAATTACGGCTATGGGTTTCTGATGGCTTATCTAGTGAGAATCAGCATTCTAACTGCTTTAAACAGTGACTATTTTTCATCTTTATAACCACATATAAGCATTGGTAGTGTCCCCATTTTATTAACAAGCACATAGAGATGAAGTAAGTTAACCATTAAAACATTTGTAATAGTGCAGGGTATGGATCCATCATACCCGAATTCTTCCTGCACCTTAAATAGGGATGAAAACTACTTCATAGGGTTCTTTATGAGAAAGGACACGAGATAATGCATATAAGATGGCTGGTATCCTGACTGAACACTCAGTGCTCAGTAAGGATGCTTTGAAAGTACCTTGTAGCATGGGAACTCAATTGTGCCTCTGATGAGAAACTTGGCTGTTTCTATACCTATACATTATTAATATTTATTTAAGTTTTAATGCTCTTAACTAGAAATAAGTGTGTGGCCATGTCAGGAAAAGTAAAGAATAACCTTTTTATTTTGTGTGGAAGTACACTCGTTTCACCTGCACAGGTATTCCATAATTGACATTTGATTTGCCTATTTTCTAGGTAGTTAGATTTCATGGTGGAGCTCTTCCTGCCTACGTTGTATCTAGCATCCTTCTTGCTTACGGAGGACAGTTATATTCACTCTTCTCAACAGGTAAAGATGCTTGCATCTTAAAAGCTAATTTTTGTTTTAAATGTTAAAGTAGACCTCTGTTGGTTCCATGTCATCTTCTCTGTTGATTTTGATTATGCTTCTCCAGTACTGGAGATCAGAAATGGAGCCTTGTATATTCTAAGAACCAACACTGGGCTTTATTCCCATGGCCGTATATATTCAGATTATGCTGAATTGGAAGGCATAATAAGAAAGTTCTTAGAATCAGCCACCACCACTGTCCTTGGAAACTCCAGGATAGCATGTGATTTTGTGACCAGTCTTCTTCGTGTCTTTTCCATTTTTTTTTCATTACTTTTGTCTTATAAAAGGAACAAAAGCTCCCATATACATAAAAAAGACCCATAAAAATAAGAACACGAAGAAAGCAAGTGAGGTAGGAAGAGGGGAGACGGGGGAGGAAGTAAGAACAGGAAGGAGAAGGAGAAAAAAGGGAGGCCAGCAGTAGAAAGCTAGGAAACCTCCTTGTTGCAAGTTTGCAAGTTTTCTTTGCCATCTGCCTGGTCCCACAGCTGCCTCAGCACCAAATAAACACACTGACGCTATATTAGTTATAAAATTGTTGGACGATGACTAGGGCTTCTTATTGGCTAGCTCTATGTTAATTATTAACCCATTCCTATAAATCTATATATTTCCATGTGTTCTTATCTTACCAAAGAAGGGTCTGGACATGCTACTCCTTTGTGGTTTACATGGTGACTGTGTCTGCCTATATTTCCCAGAATTCTCCTCCTCTCCTAGTCCCGCCTATTTCCCTGCCTCTATTGGCCACAGTGTTTTATTCATCAACCAATAAGAGAAACATATATACAGGACAACACCTGTCACCTCCTCACCATTTCTGTGGGCCAAACCTTTTTCTAATGACTCAATTCCTTTAATGACCTTCATAAAACTTTAGTATCCTTGAATAGCCCTTGTGAATTTATTGTTCATATTTAGTGTGTTAACCTGTATTCAACAGAGAGAAAAGAAGTGTGGTCTGCCCCAGCACCGGCCTTTTTTTCTTTTTAATTAGTGTTTGCCTGCATGTCTGTGTGAGTGTCAGATCCTCTTCATGTACCAAGTATGCAAATCATAAGTCACCTGTAGATTGTACCCACTAGAATGAGCATAGTAGAATGATAATATGCTAATAAGGAAAAGGAGAAACTGTAACCTTCACACTCAACTGGAAAACAATCTAACAGCTCCTCAAATGGATGAACAGAGTTACCATAGAACCCAGCACCTTTAAACTCAGGAGCACACCAAAGAGAATTGAAAGCTGTCATCCACATAAAAACATGTACACAAATGTGCACAGTTAGCAACACAGTGGCTAAAAAGATGTGTTCAACAATTAAAAGACACAAAGGACTGAGGATATCACTCAGTGGTAGGGCATTTGTCGGCATGCATGCATGAGGTCCTCACTGGGTTTGATCCCTAACACCTCAAAAATATTCCATGTATTTCTTAAAACATGCTTGAATGTGGATAACCATTGAATGAAAGAAGCTAGTCACAAAAGATCATGCATTATATGATTCCATTTATAGCTTGTCTTCAGAATAAGACTATCTATGACAGAAGATAAATTAGTAACTACCAAACAGTGGATAATTTCAAAGCAAACAGTTTCGGAGACAGATTTTATTGGTGGATGTATACCTAAATATACAAAAAGCCATTGAATCTATGAACTTTAGATGGATGGGTTGGGTGGCATAAAAAGTATATCTCAGTAAAGCTGTTCTTTATGTCCCTTGTCGATGTTTATAAAAATGCATGTTGTGAAGCTCTGGCCTTGACTCCTTCTGTTTGCTTGATGAGTGACTAAAGGTGTGGTTAACAGTCCTCCTTCCAAGAGTACTCCTTGTGGTAGAGAGAATGACCCTGCAGTTTCTGGTGTGCAATGCTATTCTTTTGCTGTATGTTACATTGTCATTGAAAAATAAAGTATATCTGTTTAATTACTGTGAATTCTTTGTTGCACACAAGTGATTTTCTTCAATTACCAGGCTATTGCTTAGAATATTCAGTCATATTGGATAAAGAAGCCAAACCATACAAAGTCGACCCATTTGTAATTATGATTAAGTTTTTGTTGGGGTAAGTTTTATTATCTCTGATAATGTTTTAATTTTGTTTGTAAAGTAATTATGTTTGATTTCATAATGTAGTATGACTTTTCATATTTATTTGGCAACTGATATGTTTTATTAAACTGGAACTTTTAGGAAAAGGCCCAATATGTCTATGAACATTTATTGTCAGTAATGTGATCATTTCAAAAGTATTTATCTCTATATATAAGAATATATTACATGTGTCTAAAAATCTAAAAGCTTAAACTTTAGCCACATTAATATCTGTTACTTATTTACTCACATTCAATAATTGTTTATTAAGAATTATTTCTAGACTTTTTTTATTGTCATTCCAAATAGCTGTTGACTTTATTAGTTCATGCAGTGACTGAAGGAATAACGTAGCTCTGAGGCCCTGGACTCGGATACTTACTTAATGATCAGTAGACTCATTGACTTGTTCAAAAGAATTAAGAGCCAGAGGCTGGGAAGTTCACTTGGTGGCTAGAAGTACTTACTGTGAAGTTTGAATTCCTAGCATCCACATAAAAAGCAGTTATGGTTATATTTACTTGTAAAACCCCAACATTGAGTGGGCAAGGACAGCCTGAGAGGTTGTAAAACCACCAGTTCAGTGACAGACCCTATCCTAAGGGAATAAGGCCTAGATCTGTAGAAGAAGGTGCTCGGGATCCTCCTCTGCCACACACAAATACTAATACACACACACTCACACTCATACACACACACTCACACACACATTCATACACTCACACACACATACACACACACTGTCACTCATACACTCACACTCATATACTCACTCATACTCATACACTCACATACTCACAAACACAGTCATTCATATACTCACTCATACACTCACAACATACATACACTCATACATACTCATAAACTCACACTCATACACACACACACTCACACTCACGTGAATGAAGCAAGGCCACACATGCTTGCACATACTTGTAGTCCCAACACTTAGAAGGTGGAGGCAGGAAGATCTGTACTTCAAAGCCAGTCTAAGCTACATAGCACTTACCTAGAAAACAAACCAAAAGGAATTATGATTTGTTTTCAGTATATTTTACAAACGTATCTTAGCCATTTAAGGTTTCTAATAGATGGCCTAACTAAACAAACAGTTAAACATTAGTTGTTGAAATTTTGGGTTGTTTTGCTTCTATTGTATGGTTTTATTTGTCCATTTTTCAGGTATAAATGGTTTAAGGAGTTATGGGATGCAGTATTATTACCTGAATTAGATGCCATCGTTCTAACTAGTCAGAGTATGTGCTTCCCTCTTGTATCCTTGATTCTCTTTCTGTTTGGAACATGTACTGCATACTGGAGTGGTCTACTGTCTTCTACGTGTGTGCAGCTTTTTTCTTCACTGTGGCTAGCTCTGAAACGGTAAGGTTATGCTGAAAGCTTTCTTGCTACTCTTAATGAAGAAAATATTAGGATGGGGTATACTCTGGAGGAAGAGTCTGTGCCTAGTATTTGCTAGGACCTGAGCTTGGGCACTGCAAAAAGAGGCAGGGAGAAGAGAGGAAAGTATAAAATCATATGTATGTACACAGTGTTCCAATAGGAAATCCTAAAAGCTTTAGTCATCACTTATTTTGTAGATTTTACCATCTGACTGGGTGGATGAATGGATAAAGGCCCTGAAAACAGTCTGGAGCTGTATTACAGGCCCAAAGGCGGTTTGAATTAAAGCTTCTAGTGACTTTTCTGATAATATCCCCCAGTGTAGTTTTCTCTTGACTCCTCCATGCTGGGTGACTGTGATATGGTTTCCTGTCACACAGGAGGTGACAGATGCTGCTGCTTCCTCCACTGTTCGCAGGTGGTTCTCAGGTTTCTGTCACTGACACCTCAGGCTCACAGATGGAACCCTGTTCTTCTGTCTGGACTGGGCATGCATGACCCAGGATCTGTAAACAATTGTCCTGTTTCTTCCTTAGTACAAGTTATAGTACGATGGATGAAAATTATCACCACGGTGTGTTATAGAACTACATGTCTCCTCTTACTTTCGTTGAGAAACCCCTTATGGTTTACTTTGCATTTACTTTTTACAGTGTACTTGTGTTTATAGTTTACTCTGTGTTCCTTACATATTAATAACCAGCTGAGGGGCTGGTAGTGCACTTGAGCTTCAGTACTTTCCATCTGGGATGCTCAGGCGTAGGCGTTTCCAGCTGCAGACTTTCGAAGATTTTGAAATATTTGCATATTCATTATGAAGAATCTAGAGGATGGGACCAAGCTCCAACTACAAAATGCAGCTGTTTTCTATTACTTAATTTCCATACCCTGGAGCTTATTTTCCTTAATGCTTCTGTGCTTTAGCTATGGCCTAACACAAGATCATGGATTGGAACGTTGTTCTTGTGACATGAGGGGTCCTCAGCCCATACATTGTTTTCCTATTTTGTGTAAATATACACCACTGTATTTTTTTTTTTAAACTTTTTTCCTTTTATTCTAGACCAGCTGAACTTCCTAAAGACATCAAGGTGATGTCACCAGACTTGCCTGTTTTGACAGTTGTTTTTCTCATAGTGAGTTGGACAACTTGTGGAGCGCTTGCCATACTTCTGTCTTATGTATACTATGTGTTTAAGGTATGTTAGATCAGTAAATCCAGAAGGCCTGCACTATGTGTTAGGCACCTGTAGAATGCCCCATAGGTATTATTAACAAAAGGTTGTGATTACTCCTGAGTGCAACCTCTATTATGTCAGAAAGTTGATATAAATAAAGGGTTGGTTTTTTTTTTTTTCCAATCTTGTTTATTTAACTTATATTTGTTTAAGTGTAACTTACATTTAGTTAAGAATTAACATTATTGGTCTGAGTTGGCATGCTGGTTAAAACAAAATGAGAAGACATAATCTGCTTTAGGTCACTTTTTGTTTGATCATTATCTTTTTATACATTTTATTATACTTTAAGACTATGAGCGGGAAAGAAAAAGTTGTTAGTCTTGGTCAAGTTGTCAGTCCTGTCAATGAATGCTGACATACGTGCAGAGGAATCAAAGGCAATGATAACAGTTAAGCAATGATTTTCCTGAAGCAGAAAATGCTGCATAAGCCAGCAGCCTCAAAGGGGATCCAGGAGGCAACAAATGTGGTGCATTGATCATGTGGGTGGACGGTCTTCACCACACTGGGTATTGTTTGTACTTTTTGTCAAGACTATCTGCCTCTTAAATAAGACATGTACACTGTAGATTATTTTCAAGTTTTCTAAAAGGAAACTTTTGTAAATCTGAAAATCTGTCTAGAGCTTCTTCAGTTTAATGATAGGTTAGGTTCTGTTTTTCTAGTTACTTTTTTTATATTCTTGCTGAATTTTTTCATATTTTTATTTAGTTTACATTCCAGTCCCAGTTTCCCCTCCCTCCTCTCCCCCCGCTGCCCTCTCCCCCACCTCCCGTCTGCTCCTTGGAGAGAGTAAATCCTTCCCTAGGAAGTCTACTAAGTCTGTTCCATCATCTCATTGAGGCAGGGCCATGGCACTGCCTCCCCTCCACACACCTCAGTATCTAGGCTGAGCAAGGTATCTCTCCATATAGAATGGGCTCCACTAAGTCAGTTTGCTCAACAGCGTTAGATCTTGGGCCCACTGCCAGTGGCCTCATATATTGTCCCAGTCATCCCATTGTCACCTATATTAAGGGAGTGTACTTCATTCTTATGCAGGTTCCCCATTTGTAGACCAGAATATGAAATGCCCTTCTTTATCTTTTTTTAAAATTGATTTTAGTTTGAAGTCTGTATTGTTAGATATTAGGATAGCTACACCAGCTTGTTTCTTAGGTTCATTTGATGGAAAATTTTTTCCCAAACTTTTACTCTGAGGTAATATCTGTCTGTGAGGTTGAGGTTTCTTGTATGCAGCAGGATGGATGGATTCTGTTTTCTTATCCAATCTATTAGCCTGTTTCTTTTTATAGGTGAATTGAGACCATTTATATTAATAAATATTGATAACCAGTGATTGCTAGTTTCTGTTATTTTTGTTTTTGTTGTGGGTGATGACATTGTGTGTTCAATTCCCTTCTTTGGGATTTGCTGTTGTAAGCTCATCTATTGCCTATGTTCTTGTGGATGTAGATGACATCCTTGGGTTGACATTTTCCTTCTAATACTTTTTGTAGGGCTGGCTTTGTGCATGGGTATTGTTTAATTTGGTTTTATCATGGAATATCTCCATCTTTGGTTACTGAAAGCTTTGCTAGGTAAAGAAGTCTGGGTTGGCATCCATGGTCCTTTAGTGTCTTCATAATGTCTGACCAGGACCGTCTGGCTTTCATTGTTTCTATTGTGAAGTCAGGTGTAATTATGGTAGGTCTGCCTTTATATGTTATCTGTCCTTTCTCCTTTGCAGCTCTTTCTTTCTTTTTATTCTTTAAGCTTATTGTTTCAATTATTATGTTACAAGGGGACTTTTTTGTTGTTTTTGTTTTTGTTCAGTCTATTTGGTGTTCTGTAAGCCTCTTGTATTTTCATACTCATGTCCTTCTTTAGGTTGGAAAAGTTTTCTTTTATGATTTTGTTGACTACATTCTCTGTACTTTTGAGCTGGTATTCTTCTCCTTCTATCCCTATTATTTTTAGCTTTGCCCTTTTCATGGTGTCCCAGATTTCCTGTATGTTTTGTGTTAAGGATTTGTTGGATTTAAATTTTTCTTTGACCGATGACTCTGTTTCCTCTATCGTATCTTCAACACCTGAAATCCTCTCTTCCATCTCTTGTATTCTGTTCTTTATGCTTGCATTTGTGGTTACTCAGATTTTCCATTTCTAGAATTCCCTTGGTTTGTGTTTTCTTTATTACTTCTATGTCAGATTTAAAGTCTTGAACCGTTTCCTTCATTTGTTTGATTTCTTTTTTACTGGTTTTCTTTAAGGAATTTGTCGATATCTTCCAATTTTTTGTTTGTCTTTTTCTCCATGTCTTTAAGGGAATATTTCATTTCCTCTTTAAGGGCCTCAATCATCCTCATAAAGCTATTTTTTAGGTCGTTTTCTTCTACTTCATCTGTGTTGGGATGTTCAGGCCTTGCTGTTATAGCACCACTAGTTTCTAGTGGTGTCATATTGCTCTTTATATTGTTGAGTGTGTTCTTACCTTGTTGTCTACACATCTCTTCCTTTAATTGGTATAGGTGGAGCTTGTGCTTCAGGGGGTTCTCTCTTTCTCCAATTGGTATATTTGGGGCTGTGTCTCCATTCATGCCTCCTTCAGGGGCAACGAGAGCAGAGCTTCTGGTGAACGCTCTTCCTGATGGAAGTGAGCCCAAGCTCAGGTGGTTGCTCTTTGAGGTGCAGGTGGGGCTACAGCTCAGGTGCATGCTCCTCCCATTGGAGGAAGGGCCACAGCTCCTGGTGCTTGCTCCTCTAGGTATAGGTGGGGCTGATGATAGTTTCTGGAAGCTACTGCTGAAAACTGTTGCTGTTGTTTCATCTGGAGGTTGCTCCTCACTCCTGGGGCTGAGACTCTGGCCTCCTTCTGAGGCTGCTCCAGACCTGAAGCTGGCCTCTCTCTGCTACTGCTTCTAAGCTTCTTCTTGACTCCCACTCAGTTAGATACTTTTGAAAAGCTGACTGAATAAGCAACACTCCCTCAGAATTTTAATTTAGGGGAAACGATAAATTTACAATTTTTTCTCAAAGTCTTGTAGGTATTTTGCCACCACATATAATTGAACATTTTTATATAATGTTAAAAATGAGCAAACTTTTGACCTGTGACACATGTAGGATTGCTGTAGCAAGGCATTATTCAAATATTAGTCACAGGATTAAAAGTTCTGTGCATACTTTGGAAGTCTGTATAGTTTCCATTTTGAGTATTTTTTTTAATCTATAAGCATTAGTATTCTTTATGATTGATCTTTCGTAGACTACTGATTCCAAATGTTTAATTAAGCCTGGTTGCTTATTTTTTTTAATGTTTTCAATACTAGCTATTTTTTATTTTATGTATATGAGTATTTTGTCTGAATACTACCCATTGTGTGTGTACTACCCATTGAGTCCAGAAGAGGGTGTCAAAACCTCTGGAAGTAGAGTGAGGGTAGCCGGGTGTTAGAACTAAACCCAGGTCCTATGTAAGAGCAGTTAATGCTCTTAATCACTGAGCTATCTCTCCAGCTACATGTTTATATTTTTAGATTTCAGGTTATATAATGCTTCTCAGTTTTAAGGTTTTGTTTTTAAATCTATTGTTTTTGTTCCAAATATAAGTAAAGTTAACACTGTATTCTCTTCCTAAGGTGGTTCATCTGCAAGTCAGCCTAATGACTTTTAGAAACAACCAGCCAGTGGTAAGTTTTGTTTTCTAAATGCTATCTATATACTGATGCGAAAGTACATGAGAAAATACATGTGTTTTTTTTTAAAGATTTGTGAATTGAAGTAACTTTAAAGTTAAGGAATATTAAAGTAGACTTGAATTGTTCTGGTTAACTTGCTCGTAGGTTACCTTTATCACTTTGTTGTTAAAATTTTTATTTTCAGTTATTACTAACAATAACTCAAAAAATGTAGCCAGACATGGTCACACATGCTGATATTTCAAGCACCCAGGAGGATGAAGCAGAGGGGTGGCTTGAACCTAAGAGTTTGATATCAGCCAGGGTAACTTAGCAAGATCCCATCTTAAATAAAACAAAGCAAAACAAAAAAAGAGTAAAACTCTTGTGATGATAACAGTTTTAAAGTAGTTTTAGCAAAGTAACTTCAGTATTTTATATTTGATAATAGAAGATGATTTAGTTAAGTAGTTGAGTATAATTGACTCTAAGTAATATCTTGAACTTATTGTTTATTCCTATCTTGGCATTCTTCTTTTATTGCTTTCTAGAATCCCAAACACTCTCGAAGAAGTGAAAAAAAGTCCAACCACCATAAAGACTCTTCAGTACAAAGTCTTCGCCTGTCTGCTAGTGATGCTGAGGACAGTCTGCGCATGCATGCCACTGTGATTAACTTGCTGACGTGGGTGGTACTGCTCAGCATGCCGTCTCTTATCTATTGGCTAAAGAACCTTAGGTGCACTTATTTATTTAATTATTGCCTGTGTGGTTCAGACAGTAAATCTCTCTTGATAGAGCCTGGCTGAATTCCTGATGGTCCATGAAAATTGCTTGAGAATAGGAAATTATATATTGCCTGGAATTAGCTTTCAGTACATTTCCTTTCCCTCATTAGCCATGATGATAGAAGTTTTAAGATTGTAATGTTCTCTAAAAATCAGCCAAAGGAAGTGATTTATATTTTTTACAAAAAAAGTAATTTATAAACTATTTTTTATCATGTGTGATATACACAATAATGAGTTTCATTGTGGCGTTCTCATACATGCCTTTTACTACATTAAGGTCACCTGCTCTTATCGCTACTTATCTCTTCCATTGGTCCTCACCTCTTCCCAACAAAACCATGTCCGAATAGCCTTTAAAAACTTCAATAAAATACCAAGGAATAAACCTAACTAAGGAGCCCGAATGAAGCAGTGGTAAAACTTATTTGGAAGTACAATGGATTCCAACTAGCCAAAATAAGCCTGAGCAGAGGGAGTACTATGTACGCAGATGATCAGTACAGCAGGATCAGCAGTTGCTAAGTTATAAATGAGCTTAGATGCTAATTAACATGAATGAATAAAGAAAATGCAGCATGTATACACACACAGTGGAGTATTATTCAGCCATAAAGAAACTGGGGAAATCAGAATTCACTGGGCCTGATCCCAGAGCTGTCAGACTTGCCCACGGCAAACCACAGGTTGCAGAGAGGCAGCTCAGAGGTCCAACAGGCTCAGAATTCAGAATACAGAAATACACAGGGTTGATCCACAGAGGAGCTGGTGGGCACACTCATTCCTTCGACTGTCACAGCCTGGCCTCACTGCTGGTTATTTTACTGAACCCTTCCTACTCTTCCTATGGCTACCCCTTGTGATGATCCCAAACCTGTGGCATGTGTCCCACACTTCCTGACTTGGAACTGACCCTTGTTTTCAGGTCTTCAGAGCATCTTAATCTTGAACTATCATAGAAAGTCTCTGGCTTTAGCCCTCTGCGATACAGGCAGCAAAGCCATGTCCTTGTGTAGTATCATGGCTTTCTCTAGGAGCCACTGTCATAATGAATGTCCCACACTAGCCACAGCTTGCAAGGCCGACTTTCTCCTGTGGTTGGGATTGCCCTTCTATTGCCCTAGGCTGCCTGGCTCACCTGTGGCTCACCTGCCTGGTCCCTCTCACACCAGGTTACAAATTGGCAGAATCAAAAACAGTTCAGGAGAGAAAATCAAGGGTTGTCAGATGTTGATATCCTTCTCTCATTTGTGTTTGACTTAGTCAAAACCCAGAATTTCGTTCAAATGTAGTCAGAATTGAGAAACAGTCTGATTCTCAAAGGCTATGGAATTATTACTGTTAGTAACTGCAAGGGATGAAATTATGGATTTTAAGAGCTAATGAGAGGTTACTTTAGCCTTCATCTTACCTGTTTTGTTATAGGACCATCCTACTGTATTGTAAGTAGTTGGTTTTGAAGAGCCTTTCCACACTGGGTATGTCTCTGTCCTCAGTGGCTTCTGAGTGTAATGCCCATTGTCAGATCCTGTGTGTGTGTGTGTGTGTGTGTGTGTGTGTGTGTGTGTGTGTGTGTGTGTGTTTGTGTGTGTATGTGTGTGTGTGTGTGCGCGTGAGAGAGAGGGGGGGCACTGTAGAGTGGGAATTGCTACTAGAGGCTTCATGAGCCATCTAGAGTGCTTGTGACTATATTGTTGTTGGAACTTTTTGGAAATTAATTAATTTGATTCTGATCATTTATAACCATGAGTTTTTGCTTTGTTGATAAATGTTTTCTTTTTATTCTAGGTATTATTTCAGACTTAATCCTGACCCATGTAAACCCCTGGCATTTCTCCTTATTCCAGCTATAACGATTCTTGGAAATACTCATACAGTTTCAGTAAAGTCAAGGTACAGTGGTTTAACTTATTTCTTCATCTGTTACTGGCCTTTATTGTTTTATTTTTAGAAGCACCCTCTTTTTGTTTAACTTGATTGTTTCTAAAAGTAAAGCCATAGGTGATTGTGGTTTATATGCATATATATTGTGCTTGTTTTCTTAATCGCAGGAGTTTTGTTAGGAAGTGAGTTACTTTCTTTTCAAACTTAACTCTTAAATGCTATATCTAAACTTCCCAAAAGTATAGAAGCAATATACATAGACAGACCTGTGACTAAAATAATGACCATTGAATCATCTGCGTAATAATAGGTGTGAGGGTTTAGTGTTCATTTGACCTTTTTCGTGTATGTGTTTGATGTACTCATAACAAAACTTGGTCTTTTGGGAGCATTTGCTCTGGGAGGCACCTGCGGCTGTTCTGGGATTGGGCCCACTGAGGAGTTAAATCTTATTATGGGGGCAGGAATGTTGCTGCATGCCTGGGGTCTGAGAATGGGAGGAAAAGCAGGAGAACCTGCAGCCAAGGCTGTCCTCAGCTGTGTAGAGTTTGTGGCTAGCCTGGGCTACATTGGCCCATATCTCAAATAAATTGTATGACTATGGAAGAGCAAATGTTGTTTTGGCTGTTTAATGGCTGTGTCTATAGACTTACCCCTCTTAGCCTCAGTTTCTCCATTTTCAGTGTACAATCCAAAGGTTCCCCCTGGAACTAGTTTTTTGTTGTTGTTTTTTAATATTTAATGTTTTGTTTAATATGTTTCCTTTCTTGGGACAAAGATGCTTTGTCTATTGTGCTGTTTGTTTTGTTTTCTTTCTTTTTTGTTTTTACTTAATTTTGATATTGTAAGTAGGATTAGATTAGGTACTTTTGTAGCTATGTCTTCAAGAACATTATTTTGTTAGGATATGTTTTTAGAGGTAGAATTGTGGAATGAGGTACCAACTGGTATTTCCTGTTATGCAGGAAAGAGTAAGAATCTAGCTATTCTCTGAATAGAAACATGTTTCCTTTCTCTGTTTAAATATGAATTTTATTGACCTTTATAAAATTATGGACAGGGTTTTTTTGTTTGTTTGTTTGTTTGTTTGTTTATTTAGAAAAAAACTCACATCATTTAAAATCACTTAAAAGCCAGATAGTTTGGCATACTCCTGCCATGCCAGCATTCAGAAGATAAGGTGGATCCAAGTTCAAAGCCAGCCTGGGTTATATCATATATCACAGAACCTTAGCTCAGAAAACCAAAACTAAGATGGCACAGTGGCACTCGGGAGGCGGGGACAGGCAGATCTCTGTGAGTCTGAGGCCAGCCTGGTCTTTATAGCAAGTTCCAGGCCAGCTAAGTCTATGTAGTGAGATCCTGTCTGAAACAAAACAAAACACCAAGAAATAAAGAAGATAATCAGAAAACCAAAAATAAACAAAATTTAAATAAATACAAGCAAAAATCCCAACGTTAAGTTTCCAAAGCTATATAAAAGATTAACGTATTTCCTTTTGGCTCACAATGTATGTTGTCCAAATAATGCATATTTCTCTCTCTTCACAGTAAATTGCTGAAGACTGCCTCACAGTTTCCACTTCCTCTGGCTGTTGGTGTGATTGCTTTTGGCTCCTCCCACTTATACAGGGTTCCATGTTTTGTCATCATTCCTCTTTTATTCCATGCATTATGCAACTTTATGTAAGACTGGACTTAAAGAACGATAGAAACGATTTATGCCTTTAGGACCATTGACACAGTGAACACAGCTCCACCAACCGGAACAGTGAGGTCCTTCGGAGAAGACAAGTCTATTTTTACAGTGTTGGAAATAGGAAATTAGTTTTGTAATGCTTGAGGAAAGTAGTTGAAGCATGGTTTCATTTTGTGATGTAGCATCTGTGTACTCGTCATACCTGAGTAATTAGTGAAGGGGACTCCTGTACATACCGACCTGCTCCGTCAGCCCTGCCAGGACTCTGCTGCAGACTCGGTTGATGCAGTGGTATCTGTAATGTCACATGAGACCTCACTGCTTTCATCATCAGACTTTCTTGCAAAGCTGGGTTTCATATTTGCTATAATTTACATATTCAGAATTAAGTCCTAAAAGGTTGTCAAAAGTCACGAAGAATTCTGTGGTTAGTTTTTGGCAGCCATGGTGAACCAAGTTTGATCTGCCTTCTTACGTCTATGAAAAAGAGCCTCAAATTGAAGGGATACTTTGTGTTAACTACTGCAATTCAGACTTTAAAACAATGACATTTTCTTGAGCCTTCAAATATGAATCTTACTGTGCATTCTTGGTGACTATCCAGAGCACAAAAGAATCTACCAAGAGATCTGTTATCTATAGGCTGTTCCTGTGGCTACTGCATCGGCACAGTCAATCTCTGCATCTGATTAAATCAGTGCTCCCATGGTTGCCAAAAGAGCCTCTGGTGATGATAGATTATTAAAATAACTGAATTCCAGAGGTTGAAACAACTCTGGGTTTACATCATTTTTGTCTACTGGGAAGAAAGGATGTCAACACAAGTACAGTATTGTACTTGATGTACCAAACTATGCTACTCAGAGAGGAGCAGTAGGCAATCATTACCTCATTGGCACTCAGAGTGTGAGCACTGCCTGAGTAGACAGTGGACCCCATCGCCCAGTTAACAGTGGAATCTTGATTGGCAGGGTTCACTCTTTAGGACTACTGTTTGGCCAGTAAGGGCAACCTATGATTTAATTTCCAATTCTAGTTCACTCTTAGCTACAGAAAAACAAAAAGGCTAAGAGCTTGAAGAATCTAGTTGCTCGTTGCCTTCAGTTAGAATAAACCCAGGCTGAGAAAAACCTGGTTCATGGAGCCCTTCACCTAGGTGTATGTTCTGTAAATGCCCAATGCCTTTTCAGTGAAGTCCTTACCTGTCCGTGAACACACAGTTGCACTTGTGAACCTGTGTACTTATTAGTGCCAGGAATGGTACATAGGGAATCAGCTTCATTCTCTCTGCTGTTGCACCTGGTACCCAGCTTCTCAGCTACTACTGCCAACCCGAGGGCTTCACCCACTTCACTCTTTAAAAACTCACTTCACTCCCCCTGGGAGTTCTTCCTTGGATCTTCCCTGTTTGAACATCAGTCAAAGGGTCATGTTCCTAACCAGAGACTAGTTAGTTTGTATGATTCCATTGCTGTCTTGACTGGCAGCGTGCTTCTTAGGTATTCATATTTTCACTTACTAAGACTTTTTAAAGGAAAGCTGTTAGACATGGCGGACATTTTACTCTCTTGTTTTGGAATTCTGTCGAATGGAGTAAACTACACCATAGTGTTTGTTCAGTATCTGAGAGTGAGTTCATTAGACTATTTTCCCATATAACTAAATGGAACGTATCTGCTTAAATTTTGCCAGGCATGCACAGCCTTTATACACATGACATCTTTCATTCTGTTAGTGATACTGAAGATGTATCTCAACTTAATGGTAACTGAATACTTTTTCAATTTGAATATATATCTACAAAGAACTTTACAAACATTTGAAGTTAGACCTTTTATAACCATGGTTATTTATGAGAGCTAAAGTCACCCTGCTTAGTCAGTACTACTCATGAGGAAGAGGTATCAAGTTTGATGTCTTCCTCATGAGTAGTTTACATGTTATTAAAGCACACATTCCTACTGAAATGTTTTTTGTCTGTAAGCACCTATTCCAGAGCCATAAAGTCTTATGTCACCAGAATATTTCAAATCTTAGTGGTCTGGGTGTTTGGCCATTTGCCACTCATACTCACAAATACACACTCACACATAAACACACAGTGGATATTCTTTGACAGAATCTTTATCGAGTGTTTCAACCCAAGTAGCTAGGTAGACTTTCTGATCTTGAAAATTGTTATCCCTTAAGAAAAGGGAATTCCTTCATCTCAACATCATGTGCTTTTATCTGTCATGCATATTGTTGTCATAGTCCTATTAGCAGTTTTACTCAAATTGGCAGTTAAGTTAGAGATTAATACATCAAATATTGAGTTCTACTTTTAAGAAATTGAGTTTTTGAGTAAATGTTGTGCTTATTAAACAAATAAATTATTCCCAGTAAATAGATTGGGTATACATTAGACAATTAAGAACATTGAGTGCTAGGTATTTCTGAAACATCCTCATAGAATTATTTCTATTGTAATTTAGACATGATAATTTTTTAAAGATTCGTGTGTGCGTGTGTGTGTGTGTTGTGTCTGTGTGTACACGTATGTGTACAGGTGCTCATTGTGGCCAGTAGAGGGCAGTGGGTCCCCTGGAGCTGGATTCAGAGGTGGTTGTGTGTTGCTGGACATGGATGTCAGGAACCAAACTCAAATCCTCCAGAGCAGCAGTGCTCTTGACTGAGCCATCCCTCCAGCTCCTGGACCCAGTGATTTGATAGAAATGTCTACCGCAGTTGTGTGTGTATATACATGAGCACCCCAGGGATTGAATCCAGAGCCTGTGTTTACTAATTATGTTTTCTACCATTGAGTTATACACAGCTTGTGGGGGTTAAGTTCATGCCAAAATTAAAGACATTCTCCTCTTTAATTGGTTACCACTATAATGAAAACTTTTAAAACTGTGGTTCTAAAGAAACCATTTATACTGATTTTCAAGGCTGCCTAATATAAATCATGTAGTGATTTTTTTACTTCTTTTTATTTTTTATACTTTAGTTATGTAATTTCAGCTATCTGTAAAGGGATACCTTTTTGCAGATTTTTGTTTGTTTGTTTGTTTGTTTGAGACAAGGCTTCCTTGGTAGCCTTGGCAGTCCTAGAACTAGCTCTTTAGACCAGGCTATCCTCTGCCTGGGATTAAAGGAGTGTACTACCACCACCCAGCAAAGGCATACCTTTTATTGAATGAACTATAATAGTACCTATAATTATATAGTGAAGAAAAAGAAATAACACCAGGAGGTAGGCCTGCTGAATATTTGCTATTTTATTACATTGTCATACATGTTGACATGACACATTTTCACAATGCTCACAAACATTTGTCTTATTTATTAAATCCCTATACTCTTTTATTTTATTTTTTACTCTTTAGACTTTTCACTTACAGCACTATGTACAGCATGCACCTTTTTAATACCTCTCACAGAAAATGAAGAAGTGAAATGAAGGGAAGTAGAACTCGGTAGTTCTTGAAAGCGGCAGGATCAGATGGTAAAGTGTCTGCTATGCAAACACCAGGACCCAAGTACAGATTCCCAGAATCCACACAAGAAACTGGCTGAACAGTGTGTGCCTGTAATCCCAGATCTGAGTGATGGAACCAGGTAGATTTGGGGGGCCTGCTGGCCAGCCAGCCTAGCCAAATTGGCAAGCTTTAGGTTCAGTGAAAGACCTTGTCTCAAAAACTAAGGTGGAGATTAAATGAGGAAGATTTCCAGCATTGACCTCTCTCTTCACTTGCATGTGTACCCACACATAAGGGTGTATACACAGACATGTACACACATGAAAACACAAAACATATTTAAGAGGTGGGGGCTCACAAATACCACGAGGTAAACTAGGGCTCTTGGTTCCAGAATCATGGAGTAAATCAGGTGGCCTGTATGTCTCTCTTCAGACATCAGTCTGAGTTAATGTTTTGCTGTTTTGCTTTGTTTTTTTTTTGTTTGTTTGTTTGTTTGTTTGGTTAGATGCAAAATCACAGAATGTTGCATTTGAACATTTAGGAAATAGTTTTTTAAAAAATCATTTAGGAAAAATCCAAAAGTATATTGAAATTTTGGACAGCTAGGGTTTTGTTGATTTTTTTTTTTTTAATCTGTGTGCACAATTTGTGAATTTGTATATCATAGGAAACAAGAGACATTGTGAAGTTTATTGAAGGTCACACACAACCCATTTGGGGAGTATGACACTTGCAGGAATAAAGGAAGTAATAGAAGTTTCTGTGTTTGCAATATTAGTTCCTGCCAGGAAAGCTTCCATACCAGAGGAAGTAAACCTAGGACTCACTCTACTAACTGTAAGATTGAGAGCCGGAATTTTATTGCAGTCTTTTTGAACAAGAAACATTTATAATTCTGTGATTATCTTCTTTTTCAACATGAATAAAGAAATAAGAAAACCCTAGGGGACCTCATGTTCCCAACTTTCCATAGGATTATGAGAAACGGGAGTCAGATCAGCAGTTCAAAGATGTACTATAAACACACAAACTTCTTCATTTTTAAAACCTATTGTGAATAAATAAAAACAGAATTTTACATGGTAGTAACTTCATTTTGAGAACAGAATGAAATTTGGAAATGGTGAGAATGGGCATGCTGTTACTCTGTTAATACTGTAACTGTAACAGTGCATCTGGGTGGTCGGAGCTGGCAATGTCCAAGCTACAGCTTGATTAAACTCTCTTTGAGTGATAATTACAAATCAAGAACAGTTTTCTTTAAGAGTTTTGTCAGCATGTTATGCTGCCAAAAACCATCTGAAATACTAAGAAACCAGTTAATTTCTGATGACTTTGTATAAAATTGGTGTCTTGAGTCAGAATCAGCCTATAACCATTATGTACATTGTCAGTTTAAACATCAGTGAGAAACTATATCTGTTGCTGTTAGATTAGTTAGTGTAAAGTTTGTGTATCTGAATTCTAATCTTAGTCTAGGAAACCTACAGGGAGCCATTTTGTAAAGTTCATATGTTATTTCAAATGCTCTTTTGACTTTTAGTATTTGTAAGGAGTGATGTTACTAAAACAAAAGTTTATAGACCCTGGGTAGCACTAACTACTCCAGAGCCTAGCAACCAGTGTATTTTGTATCTCATGTGCATCTGTTCTGTTTCATATTGAACTTTTTACATCCCCTTTTTTGGGAGAATAAAGATACATTTGAATCCTTTTTAGTATAATCTTCATTAGAAACTAAGTATTCGCATGGGTAGGAAAACATACTTTGCCACCAAAGCTAAATGAAA